CAATACCCGCCAGCGGCGTGAAGTAGGTAAACCACTGCTATTATTATCCCCATTATCAACGGATTTATTAGGAGTGGGACATACACATTGGTGTACATAGGTACGGTATATAACAAATATATATATATATATATTCAAGTTCCATTAAAAACAATTGACAAGGTACTGCGATTAAGATTTTATTCGAAATATTAATTGAACAAAAAGCTTAATCTCAGTACTTTGCCAGTCGTTTATAATGAAACTTGCATAAAACAAGGGTTGCTGCCCAAATACACATATATATATATATATATATGATATGATATGATAAAAATGTAGTTTTAAGGTATACTATATTTATCGGTAAAAGTGCCTAATACCAGTGATAGAGCGTATGAAAATATAAAAGTGGGCAATGAGATCTCGGTATCCAGTTATATATATGTGCCATTTTCAGACTTTTATTTCTTGGAAATAAAGAAGGTAGTTTATTATGTGTATTTATATTTTGGGACAGGGACCTCCATGAGAATCTCCCAGTATATGGTGTTAACATGTGAGAGATATTCATAAACGAAAACTGGTTAGAAATTAATAAATTCAACGTATCGTATAATATTTTTCATTTGTTTTCTTTTACTTATGTAATAGTATCACTACGGGTTCGCTTAATTCGGGTAAATTGTATAAATTGCCTTTGGTTCTAAGATTACAGACTTTGGATTCCGAAGCTGTACCTAATTTTACGGCCTTTCCCGCCCTTCCACACACTATATTCTCTCGAATTGGGTTATCTAAATGATCTAATCTACGCAAGCGGTTTGTTTCTATTTGGTAACAAGTGTACTTTATTTCAATGTCCACTTGATTTCATGGTTTGTCATTTTCACTAAATACCTAAAATAAATACAATGATTCCCCTCTCAAAGTGATTGTGAATAAGCTGTTCTCACAGGTTATTACTAGAGTAATGACAACTCTTCACTAAGCAAGCTGCTGCTGCTATTATTATTATTATTATTATTATTATTATTATTCTAATCCCTATTCTTGCAACGAATCTCATTTGGTGGGTTATTTGCTGGTTTTCCTCTGTCCCTCTTGCCTTCAATATACCCTGTGATTATCGAATATTTTAATCTCTCTTTCCTCAAAATCCTAAAATATTTAAATTGATTCTAATTATAAGCGACCTTTTTGTTACCTTTTATCTAAAACCTCGTCGCTGTTCACATGTCAAGTCCATGGTATTCTCAGTATCCTTCTGTAGAACCATATTTCTGTTGCCTGAAGTCTCTTCTTCATCTTTGAGGTTGTTCAGCATTCACTGCCATATAGGAGAATCGATATGACAACATTTCAATACACTTTTTTTTGTCTGTTTCTAACGAATTTTTCCTGTTTCTAAATACTTTGCTTAGCTTTTGGAAAGCATCTTTCACTGTTCCAATATGTCTTCGGATTTCGGTGTCACATTTTCCGTCAAAAAACTTCTTAGATGCATAGATTTTTGTACTTGTTTGATTTTGGTAACTGCAATTCGTAGTTCGCCTCTTGGGTTGTTCCTTTTGTTGACAACTTTACATTCTGTTTTCTTTAGTCCTTTCTTCTCACTTTCCTTTACCATCTTCTGTGGGATTTCCTGCAGTTTCCTTTCTATGTCTGCTATCAACACTGTGTCATCTGCATATTTTATGTTGCTAAGATTGTGGCCGCCAACGCGTAATGGCTTAAAACGTAATCTCGATGGTCAGCGTTTGTAAACTCAATTCTCAGAATGACATATTATTAGTGATATTATGACAGACTATACCAATTATCTATTTGCTACCTGCCAGAGAGCTGTGGTTAACGAACTTGTTTCGATGACCAGTGTAGTGAATTCGATCTTGATTGCCACATTATTTATGATTTTACGACAAACTTTTTTCTGTTTTTGTTCATGCACTTAATTCTTTAAAAAGAATAGTGTATAATTACATTTTATTCAGTTATATATTTACCATTAATTTCAATGACATATTGTCGCTCATCAGGTATCGCTTCGATAACATTCGTGAGAAATTCTGCAGGGGATGATGAAAAAAAAAAAAAAATCCCGAAAAAATCTTGAATCTGATTTTTATTAGATAAAATATTCTCGTTGCAACCTTTTTGTTGTGACAGATGACGTTAAATAATCAGTTAACGCAAGATCAGGTGAAAATCTTTTTCCTGTGTTATTCTAGTTTATGCGCCATTCACGAGTTCAGGGCGCTTTTTGATTCAAATAGAATGGGCATGTTGCAGCTGCTGGACGTATTAGTGTGAATTTACAATTTCGCTGCGTTTTAAGAACTCTAAACGAATAATATCCCGATAGAGCAATGCTTTTGTTGTCGGTTGTGGAGATTTATCTTTTTCAGTTTATTGCATCTTGTGTTGAACATTGTTGTATGCAACCCATTATTCATCACCTCTTATGATATATTTAAGGATTAGTTCATTGGTTTTACCCAATAATTTATATTATGGATAAAAAATATCAAGTGTTGTATACGAACAATTTAACTTCGTTCAAATAAATTGTTAACTCTTTGGAATGGTTCATTTGCATAATTTCCTACTTTTTGAAAACCACGCCCTTTAAGGACATATACTATCATGGCTCTCCCAACTTCCTTTTCTTTTCTTCAGTACATGTAAACCTGTAATTTACAATGACTTCTCTTGAGGAAAGTAATGGAATGGCTTGCTGTTATCTATCTCATGTTTGACCTCCTAGACTAGGTGCCTACTGAATGTGTTTAGATCCAAAAGATCATTTGAACAATTCTTTGGACGCAAAAGAAATCCCTTATACGTATACAAGAAAATATGCCCTTTGTTCTTCCTTGTTGCACACTAGTAGCGGTGCGGTCATGTTTACACTGTAATAGCAGCAAGAAAACTCAATCACGTGGCCACAATAGTACCAACTATAAACATACATGAGCAGAAGATGTGACAAACCTAAATATATGTTATGAGAAGATTTTTTACTTACCCTCGTACACATATATATATATATATATATATATATATATATATATATATATATATATATTATAAGTATATAATTGGTGTATACGGAATGAATTCCAATAACCAACAATAAGTTTGTGGTGGGAATGTTCTTAAGTGATACTCCGAAATTGGTTCTATCCATAGTATAAGAATAGAATAGACAGTGGCTATTTTTGTAGTGATTTTATAACATATTTATGTTATAAATTTTCTAAATAAATAATTATATATATATATATATATATATATGTGTGTGTGTATGTGTATATATAATAGCTGACCACTCGTATTCGAGGATACCCGTTTACTAGGGCGGCTATCCAATCCCTATTGCAGACGCTTGCTTAGGCGCATTTGTGTTTATTCTACACCCACAGAGCCAACCTGTGGTTTATGCTGCAACTATTATATAACTTAATTACAGTTTCTGGGAGAGAGCGTGTTATCTAGCGTGATCAACAATTTGAACAAGACCAACACGCTCAAGCTCTTGTCACAAGGCTTCGGTCAACCCGTGATATGGTTTTCAAAGTTTCCGCACGCTGAGATCGACCACTCCAGTCCGATGTCATCATGGTGAGATTCGAACCCGGGTCTCATGGTCAGAATACGAACGTTCTAACCACTCGGCCACGTGCATATGAAACTGTTGTGGTACGATCCACCTAATTTACATATTAGAGTACCGACCATATAAATATGGGTTGGTACCGGGAAGACGGAGAGAGGAATCAAGAGATTCAATCCAGAGACTCTGCCTGACTGCGACTAAGTCAACCCATTCTACAGGAACAGTCTTCCCAAGAGAAACCCAAACAAAAAATACTTTATGGTGAAACCAGGTGAAATCAATAAATCTGTAGCTTGATACTGTTATTAGTTCAAATTTTGCTTTGAAATATTTTCTTTATAAAGTTCGATCTATGGAATTAATGTTTACCATTTAATTAAATGCGTTAACAATATCATACTTAACATATTTTTTTTTTAAAAAAACTGCTTCTTTTTCTTTTTTGTCATTAGTCTGCGGGCTTACTGATGTACGTAATTTTATTAAAATTCTTAAGGAGTGGGACGTTTCTCTTTGACAGTGGCACGCAGCAATATGCCGGTTTATGATTAACCTTCCCAAAACCAACAATCTGTATTAGATAAACCTAAATATTTCGATTTTTTTTTTTAGCACTAGAGATGTTTTAATTCCCGAACACGGTCAGCACGTCGTGGCCATCTTCGAGAATTAAAACATTTCTACTGATATATCAAAAACAAAAAAAAATGGACAAAAAAATGTACATATTCTGACAAAGAAACAAACAAAAATGTCTTTGATTATGGCTAACTGATTAACCGAAAGATCATTTGGACAGATTTTACGCAGTCTGTCACCACACCAAATTTAAAAAAAAAATTCTTGTAGGCATACAAGAAAATGTGTTACAAAGCTTAATCGCGGTGTCTTATTAGTTGTCTTCAAGGAAACTTCTCACTTTCTCTTAAGGATTTGTATCTTATTTTTAGCTTAATACTTACATATATAAATATTACTGCACTTGGCACACTGTATTCTGTGCCTTTATTTCGTGCTATGAGATAAAGAGACGCTATAAAATCAGTTATTCGTGAGACACGTGAGGACTATTTTAAAATGCACTTTTGCATCCAACTTGCTTTCTACTTCCGCGCATCACGCAGACATGTTTGTTTATTTAAACATAACGTATTTCAAGGTAATCCACTTACGAACGATGCCAATCTTCTTTTATTTTTGTTTATTTGCTTTCCCTTCTCTTTTACTCGTCTTTTCTCTTCCTTTTTTTTCTCTCTCTCTTCCTATTTGCTCTTCCATTTAACCCAAACCTTTCGATGTAACCCTCAGATAAAAATCACTAGCTCCCAGGTGAATATTTAAATCAAATGATACGTAGATAAATAGATAAATAAGTAGAATTATGACACTGCCAATTTGCCTCATGCATTCCAAGCGTCTCACACGTCTTCCTCCTTTCCCTTTCTCTATGTCCTTCCTTTCTACATGCAGTGAGTAGCTTCCCCCAGTAATAGCAAGACAAGCAAGAAGGGGAAGTGAAGTAATAATCATGGGAAGACGAAAAAAGTAAATCATAAAAAGGGGGGATTTTCAAAACAATGAGAAGACTTGGACGTATGAGAAAGAATAGACATCCACCAGACGACAGAATTATTAAAAATCGGCAAAGAATATTAGGGCAAATGCGGGCGTAGTGTGATTTGCTATCACTTGATATTCGGTAAAAATCACCGGATGTGATTAATAAACGAGTACAAAGTAATATGGTTGAAATAATAATGATAATAATAATAATAATGAATGGAAATGATAAAAATAGCAGTTATTAGTACAATAAAGATAAAGATTGATAATGGAAAAATTGATGATGATAATAATAATAATAATAAAGGAAATGGTGATAATAGTAGTTATTAGTATAATAAAAATAGTAGTTATTAGTGTAATAAAGATAATAATAATGGAAACGTTAGTAATTATGATAATGATAAAAGGGATGATGAAAACAATAATGGAAATAATGATAAAAGGAATAATAACAACAATGACAACAATAATGGAAATAATAAGAGGAATAATAATAATAATAAAGAAGAAGAATGACGATGAAAATAATAACGGAAATAATGACAAAAGGAATAATAACGGAAATGATATAAAAGTAATAATAATAATAATACTGAAAAACAATAACAGAAATAATAATACTGATGAAAAAATAATAATAATGAAATAATAATAATAGGATAATAACAAAAAAAACCAGAAATAATGAGGGATAATAATGATGAAAATAATAATAAAAATAATGCTAAAAAATAATAATAATAATAGTAATAATAATGAAGGATGCTGACAATAATAAGTGAAATATAAAGGTAATAAAAGGAATAATCCAAAGAAGAATAAAAGAAAATATAATAATTATTAAATTTTTGCAATATAATAAGTGAGACACAAACTAATAATGTAAATGCGACGTATGGAAAAAGTGAAATAATAATAATAATAATAATAATAAATGGGAAAACTAAAAAGGAAAAAGAGCAGTCGTAGGGAAATACGAGGGAAAGCTGAAAAGTTCGCAACTCAACAACCCCAAATCTGTCCAAACATAAGAAAGATTTTGTTTCGCAATCCCTTTTGGTTGGGCTGAGAACTTTTCAGCATGCCTTTTAATGATGATGACGACAATGATGATGATTATTGTGGAAGTTGGGTAACTAAACCGATGAGGCAATAATGACAAGGTGAAAAAAAGTAACGACGCTGGAAAAAAAAAAAAAAAGGCGTAATTCAGTGTCAAAGGAAAAACATTTTTAAATTGTTTCGAATGGCCGCTGCATTGACGAATCCTGACAATTTGGGTAGCTATGAAAATTTATAATTTATTTTCTTTGTTTTCTTATTGCCATAAATTTATTAGAATTATTATTGTCTTTCATGATTATTGCGTCCATACGTCTTCTGTGTCAAATATGTAACTCCCTTAACGACAAAATAAATAAATAAATAAAAGTATTGATTCCTTAATTTAATTCTGAAATACAGACCATGAAACTATTTACTGGTTCTTAAGATACGTCTTTTCAATTACTCTTTTGCTGGTGTACACATGTATGTATGTTCGATCAGTTGAATTCTTACAACGTTAGATTTCGCCTATGAAGACAGCATAAAAATAGAAAGAAAAGCACACGCGTGTGTTAAATTATTGAACATTTTCCTTAATCTTGTAAAACTAAAACTAAAAACCATTATATCTCCATTTCGTACGAGAAAAAGCTCAAACGTTCTTCACTCTGGGAATTCATTTATGAAAAGGTGTGTAGGCTTAAATAATTGTAAAGAAAATGAAATTATTTTCTTTTTCCCGTTGATTAAGTCGCGAGTTCCCGTATTCCTTTTAAAGTGGTCTATTTAAAAATGCAACAATGGTAAGTGTTATGTGTATGCCGCTTCTAAAAGGACAAGAATAATAAGCCGTGTATGTGTGAAGGTTTTTGCCTGCAAAACCGATATCGTTTGTGTGTGTGTTTGTGCGAACACTAACTTGAATGTCTTATTCTCTTGACGGTGTGTCGGAGCGGGAGGGCGGACGAATGTGCGTATTAAAATCTTGTTATGTTGTTTATAATAACGATAAATAAATACGCGTTAATTAGATTTGAACTTGTCGCTATTTTATTTTATTTTTTTCTTCTCTTTTCTCTGTCGTCTTGTTCCAGTCATCGTCTAGAGAAAAATAGAGGGTTAAAAAAGTAAGCCAACAACGAAAAGCAACTGTCTTTATTTCTTTTTCCCTATCTTTATTTCTTCCTCTCTTTCTCTCTTTCTCTCTCTTCGTCTTTGTTTCTTTCTCTCTCTCTCTCTCTCCGTCTTTGTTTCGTTCTCTCTCTCTCTCTCCGTCTTTATTTCGTTCTCTCTCTCTCTCCGTCTTTATTTCGTTCTCTCTCTCTCTCACTCTCTCTCTCCGTCTTTATTGCTTTCTCTCTCTCTCCGTCTTTATTGCTTTCTCTCTCTCTCCGTCTTTATTGCTTTCTCTCTCTCTTCGTCTATATTTCTCTCTCTCTCTTCGTCTATATTTCTCTCTCTCTCTCTCTTCGTCTTTGTTTCTTTCTCTCTCTCTTCGTCTTTGTTTCTTTCTCTCTCTTTTCGTCTATATTTCTTTCTCTCTCTCTTCGTCTATATTTCTTTTTCTCTTTCTTCGTCTATATTTCTTTCTCTCTCTCTTCGTCTATATTTCTTTCTCTCTCTCTCTCTCTCTTCGTCTTTATTTCTTTCTCTCTCTCTCTCTCTCTCTTCGTCTATATTTATTTCTCTCTCTCTCTTCGTCTATATTTATTTCTCTCTCTCTCTTCGTCTATATTCCTTTCTCTCTCTCCGTCTTTGTTTCTCTCTCTCTCCGTCTTTGCTTTTCTTCCCGTCTGTGTATCTTCCCGTCTTTCTTTCTGTGTGCCTCTCTTTTTTTTTTTTTTTTTTTTTGACTATTTGTCTCTCTTTGTTTTCTTTCTGTCTTTCGATTTTCCAGTCTTTATTTATCTGTGTTTTCCCGTCTTTCTTTCCGTCTGTCTCTCCGTCTCTGTTTTCCGCCTGTCTCTCCATCTTCCCGTCTTTATTTCTGTGTGTTTCTCGCTCTTTATTTTTGTCTGTCTCTCTGTCTTCGTTTCTGTCTGTCTCTCCGTCGTTACATATTTCCCTAAAACAAAACAACATCGGTAAAATAAATGAAGACAATTCAAGTCTTTTTATCTCGAAATAAATTGCATCATACGCTCTATTTTATAACGCATTTAAGCGTTTGTTCTGCTTTTTCCCGCCTTTCATATCGACCTAAAGACAATTTGATAGGTTTTTTTTTTATGTTTTAAGAAGTGACCATACATTTTCTGAAGTCAGGGTTTAAGTGATATATACATAAAAATATAAATAGACTTGAAATATGCACTTTATAGTCTCATTATTGGCAAAATTTATGTACGTAAGGATGTAAACAGAGCGGAGAGAATTCCCACGTCTCTACAGGAAAATGCAGACGATCACACACTATTAGCTGACTTTAAGATGCTATCTACTTGCGCATATAATGAAAGATTTTCTTTTGCCTCTGTGTGGAGTAACTTGTACCGCGAGAATCATATGTGAATGACATTTGTACATTGTAGAATCATTTTTTCATATATATATATATATATATATATATATATATATATATATATATAATATGTGTGTACATACATAAAACAAACGTGAACGATCAGTTACACTATTTGAGTAAACACACGTGTACCAGTGGGTGTTGAAAAATTCTATATATGAGAAAACGATATATATATATATCTATAAACCAGAACGATTTTGTGGAAAAAAAGTACCAACGAAACGTGTCACAACGCAAACTTTTTTCACTTTGTCATTACTTTCATATATATATATATATAATGTACATATTAGAATATACAAGAGAAAAAGAGATAGAAGACCGACACACAAGCAGGAAAATCATAATTAATCACACACGCCATTATAACAGTTGGGCATATATATATATATATATATATATATATATATATATATATATATATATATAATGAGAGAGAGAGAGAGATGTGCACGCATGTACATCAGCTTATGTGTATATTTTCTGAATTTGTAAACTAATTGCACGTGCAAGTGTTTTTTGATCTTTTTTTTTCTCTTTTGCCAAATAAAAAACTTACACGCACAAAGGTATATATGTAATCATTTGAGCCATAGCCAGTTTTTCATGTACCCTTGGCCACCACTTTTTTCCTGCCTCTTTACGCACCTGCCAAACTTCTTGTGTCCATCCAGCAACAATCGAGCCCACCTCTCCGCGCAAGAGAGAGCGCACACACACACACACACACACACACACACACACACACACACACACACACACACACACACACACACACACACATACCTGGTTTACCTTTTTTATTCACCCACACGCATTGTCACTACCCTGACGTTCTCACGTTTCCTTTTAATATAGACCAGAACTTCTCCGGCTCCATATTTATCACATTAGCTTAGCTGAAATTGGATTACTTTATCTATTAATCTGAATGCCGTAGAAAATCGCCGAACTGCATTCACTCTCTTTATCGCTATCTCTCTCTTCCACACAGAGTGTTCATTCTCTCTCTTTCTTTCTCACTCAATTTTGCATTCTTTCTCTGAATGTTTCTACTCATACTGAAAAACTTGATTTAATGACTCGTTTGTCATTTTCTTTCTTTCTTTCTTTCTTTCTTTCTTTCTTTCTTTCTTTCTTATACTCCTCTCCTTATCCTATCTCTATTCTCTTTTACCTCGTCTTCTCCCTTCTGCTCTCTCTGTTTCCTCGTCTTATCTCCCTTCTTTCCACGCTCTCTACTTTTGCCTTCCATTATTGCAGCGTTGTTATATATACTTGTGTTCGGCCATGTTTTATCTGGACGATATGCAGAGTTCATACACGCAGAAAAGGACTGAAATCGCGTATATAAAAATAAAACTACCTGTATATCACACACACACACACACACACACACACACACCATGTGAAATGTGGGAACATTTATTGGTTGATTGTTCATCTGGTCATCTAAATCAATCTAGTCAAATAGGAGGTGCAGAGTTTGCTTGACGGTTAGCAGATTACGTATGGGGAAGATTATATTCACATGTATGTTTTTTTTTTGGGGGGGGAGGGGGCATTAATCCACTACTCCCTATCACTCCGAGTACAATATGTTACTTGTTATTTGGAGAAATTAGTATCATAAAGTAACTTCTCTTACACTAAAAATTGACCTGATTGAGCCAAGTATGAGGATGCGAGTTTATTAACACACACAAACACAAGTCTCTAATTATAGAGAGGGGTGGGCTGCAAAAGTAGGTATACATTATTCGCTGGATCCCCCCCCCCATGGAAGTTTAAAGGATATATAATTTCGTTTTCCTGACTGTATATCTACTTTTGCATACCTTGTATATGTATAAAAGCGTGGCGAAACTTTCTCGAGCCGACTCACTTTCCAAACATCTGATTTGTTTTAGAAAACGGTTCTTGGATGGTCCAATAACTTTTCACGACCAGTCTGTGAACCGTTTGAAGATCACTTTACGAGTGAAACTAATAGTCACGGAGAAGTTTTTTTTTTTTTTTTTTTAAATCTCTGTCAGTGTATTCCAGATCTTTTCTGGACTGAAGTGTTTTTTATTTGATCTGGACTGTTTAACAGTCTGCTTTCGCTGAGTTTAAGTAGCTTCCCTATTTTTTTGTCATATATTACTTCAAACATTAATTCGTATTTTCTTAGTGTGACGTCACGGTAAGGTTCTATTTTACTTTTTGTTTTTTTTTTCTTCGTGTATTAGTGGAAAAGCACGTCGGATCAAACGGTGGTTTCCCATTCAAAGAGGTGACGATGGTTCGATCTCTACCAGAGAATACATTTTCTTGACTTGATTTGTTTGGCTTAATACACACTGTTTAATAAATAAAAATGGGGAGTTTGTTTTAAATACGAAGTTCCCACTATAATAAAATTTAATACGAATGTCAAATTAAAAATTAATCGATTAATTATTTAGAAATGTGTGTATGTATGTAACAAATAGGAAGCCATTTCCGACTATTTTGATTTCGAACTCTTCACTACGACATCTAACTTCTTTGTTCATCTTACAAAAAAAAAAAAAACAATGATAGATTGATTAGGATTTATTTTACTTCTTCGGTTTTCTTTTCTTTTCTTTTTTTTTTTTTTTTTTTTGTTAGGTCTTTACTATTTCACGAGTCAATGATAAAACCAATCCTTTGATGTTAAAACTTTGATTGTGTTAACCTTGCAAGTTCTATCTTCAGAACCACGCCCGTAGTTGGAAAGGTATCTATCCTTTCTGCACGTGGTAAGTCATAAATTACTTATGGATAAACAGAGTATATGTGAGGGAGAAAGAAGATAACTTTTTCAAATGTGTGTAATATATATATATATATATATATATATATATATATATATATATATATAAATAAAAATCAAAACAGCGTCTCTTTCGAGCCTGTTCTTTCTAAAGAAAATTAGTGACACCTTCTCTCTTGACTTCCTTCTTTCTTTTTTATGTCTTTTTTCTCCTCTACCCCTTCGATATCAATATATAACTTCCGTTAAGTTAACCGTTTAAATGTGTCAATGTCTGGACCTCCTCAAGTAATTTTAAGTATGAAAGAATAGAAATATTAAATTACACCTAACTCACTCATATCTTCTCTCCCCCCTCACTTCCTCATTTCGTTAATATACATATGCTTAATACGGCCCGTCAAAAATGTGTAAATTTCTTTTCATTTTTCGTTTCAACCTTTGGAAGTAAAGTCTGATGATCCGTAGTCTTTTGAAAGGGCTATGGTGAAATAATCTATTACATGGAACTTTAAAGTGGTCTCTGTTTTTATTTAAATTTATATATATATATATATATATATATATATATATATATATATATATATATATAATTATTATTATAAACGTTATTGTAGTGCTTACACGTGTTTGAGTTGCTATCTTTGTTGCTTTATCATATTAAACAGTGAAATTAATAACAAGCAGATTAGATTGAGATGTCTTATTAAATAAATGCTTTCCTTAAATAGGTAATTCAAAACTTGCTCTCTTAGGTTGGTCTCCGTAGCCAAACTGGTAACGGTACACTTTGACTAAAATGGTCTTGTTGATGGAATAAAAGGGATTCGGGTTCAATTGCTGTCTGATGCACAATTTTTTTTTTTTTTAGGACTTCTGAAAACCCTAGCTTTGTCTATTCAGGCAGGTTTGAAATCAAAGCTGTCGGTGTACTAGACTGTTTTCCCCACCAAGGCTACAGAGCCCAGTCTACCTGGCTATTTAACACATAGCTTTGAATTCATGCTTCATGATTCATGCTTCATACGAGCAGCCAGCTATCTATAAGAAAATTAAATCTTTGGTTTTATTTGAACTTACAATATGTACGGTAATTTTGATGATTTTAAAATGGTAATTTTAGAATTTTAATGAAACCATAACATAATAACCGAATTTATACATTTTCTTGTTGTAATTAGCCATAACTACCTCAGGCTAGTCTTTGTTTTAATTTTTCACCATCTAATTTTGTATCTTATGGGTTTATCAAAACTCTAAAAATGGCTGTTTAAAATAATAACAAGTACCAAGAAAATATACGGAGATAACGAGAAAAAAAAAACAAAAAACATTCATTTGCCAAATTACTTTTTTTTGTCGCTTCCTAAGTTAAACATTTCTGAAAAATTATTATGTATTTTCTTTTTTGTATTTATCTATTTTCTATCTAAGATTCGTATAAATTTCTAAATCCTGTCAAGAAAAAGTGTGTAAAAATAGATAAATGAATAGTCTGCGTCGTTGTGAGAATATTGATAAAATATAATATTGATAAATAATACAATATAATACAGGGTGTTTCAAAAAATTTGATATCCTTTGAGATGTAAATATCACAGAAAGTACATGATTAAGGCAAATGAAATTAAAAAGTATTAATGTTGAAGATCATAAGATTTATTCTTCCAAATCTGAATGAGAAATTCAAAAGCATGTGGATTATGTGAACGATTTCACAAATGTTCAATATGCGAACCGCCTGAGACACGGCATTTTTATACCTGGAAAGAAAAAGATTAAAGATTAAAGAATATAAAAATACAAATAAGAAAAACACAAAAACATAAAGACATAAAAACATAAAACAAACATTAAATATAAAGATGCTATTAAAATTTGAAGTCATTTGAAGGAGATCTAACAAAGTTATTAGATTGCGAAATGATATCATTTTTTGAAACACCCTGTATAATATATAATAATAAATAATATAATATTGATAATATAATTTTTATAAATAATACAATAATATATAATAATAAATAATATAATATTGATAAATAATATAGTATAATATAATAATATAATAATATATAATAATAAATAATATAATATTGATAAAATAATTATTTAAAAGAGCCCCAGCAGCACTAAAAAAGAAAAAAATAGTAATAGATTAGATATAGAACTATTTAGGGAAATTATTGGAAATTATTTGTTAAAAACAAAAAAAAAACAAACAAAAAAAAAACACTGTTCCAGCAAAAAAACAGTTCATCTTGATGAGTTTTTTGGTTGTTTTTTTTTTTTCGTTTTTTTTTTCTCCCATTTTTACGCCGAGATCCACACTCAGCCCTACAAAGAAGCGATCTGGCCCGAAACAGTGAGACAAGTATAAAACGATTGCGTTTCATCGTCACTTTTAGTTACAATTCATTTTGAGTACCCACCTCTTAACACATTCTGGTTTATGAGCAGAAACTCACAGCTGTACACGTACACACACAGCCACACACTGTGGGCACTTGCTGTAGCGCGATGGTTTTTGCCTCGTAATCTACAAGTTCGAGTCTCAGCGCGTGCTTCTTTTACAGTTGTTTTATTATACACCAAGCTAAATTATATTTTAGTGGATATCGATTGACGTCTGGCCGTAGAGAGTAATGAATAATGAAGAATCTGATCTTTTGCGCCCCGACTCTTCGATTAAAGAGGTTACAATCAGAGAAATATAAATTTCGAACACCTCAGCTGTCGCTTATACTTTTCTTTACAAAATGTCGCGTGCACATTTAAAATTTATTTCTTTGAAACGCACTTTTTTTTTTTTAGTTTTTGTTCTTTTTACATTGACTTGTTATTTTTCTTGAGAGATTTTCCAGTCTGCTTTTCGCAATAGGAAAAAACATGTTTTAACACCATGTTTGTTTCATAAGCGATTTAAATTTACTTTCCTTCTTCCATGTGTCGTGATCTTTCGGGATTTGGGTGATCGTGACTCTACACAACATTCTATCTATGGTAGCAACGTTTGTCTTTTTGACTATCTCTCCAAGTCCATGCCCAATCAACCTTTGATACAAGCTCATTACTCTCTATTTCCCTCTATCCCTCTTGCATTCAGTGTACCCTGTGAGTGTCAACTTCTCCAAGCCCACTTTCCTCATTATGAGTCCAATAGATTTCATCTGTCTCTTTCTGATTCTGAGCATAAATGTCCTTTTAATTTCCATTTTGCTTAAGACATCCTCATTTGTTACATGTTCAATCCATGGTATTCTCAGCTTCATTCTGCAGAACTGTATCTCGGCTGCCTCAAGAATTTCTTTGTCAACATTTCTTTTGTAATTTCCCCTCTCTCTTTTCTTCTTCTCTCTCTCTTTTCTTCTCTCTCTTTACTTCTTCTCTCTCTTTTCTCCTCCTCTCTCTTTTCTTCTCCATCTCTCTCTTTTCTTCTCCTCTCTTTTCTCCTCCTCCTCTCTCTTTTCATCTCCTCCTCTCTCTTATCTGACACTTTTCTTCTTTTTTCTTCTTTTCTCTTTTTCTTTTCTCTTCTTTTTCTTCTTCTCTTTTCTTCTTCTCCTCTTCTATTTTCACTGTTATTTTTCTTCTCTTTCCTTTTTTTCTTTTCACTCTTCTTCTTTTCACTCTTCTTCTTCTCTCTCTTCATCTTCTTTTTCTTCTCTCTCTCTCCTCTTCCACTTCTCTCTCTCTCCCTTCCTCTTTCTGTCTTTATTTTATTTTCTCCCTCTCTCAACTTCTTTCTTTTAAACTCGTACCTATCTAGTTAGTGTCTGTTAGTTTCCTTCTAAGTATGAGATAAATGGAAATGTGTATATCCGTTTTCTGTTTTACACATCCTATATTCTATTTCCTTAAACTTGCGTGATATACAATACTTATCTGTTTATTGTATTGTTACACATGAGAACATTATCTACCAAATATTATCATCAATCATCATACAGATCCAATACTGTTGACACATTTCGTTTCTCAATACTCTCTCGTGAGCAGTGTTCAATATTCTACGTAATATAAAATGGTCATTGTCTACTATTACGTACGTCAGATTAATGCTCCACAACGTTTTCTTGGTAAATTAAGCCAAAGAATTTATGGGTTAGACCTTGTGAACTGAAGTTCGTTAGAATATTATTTTTTAATTTTTTTTTTTAACAAACAAATTTAATTTCATGACAGAACTTTCTTGTTTTAGAGCCATAAGTAACAAATGTAAAATCAGCATTTATTGGAATTTCAGGCGTCCGTGTGATTCTTTTAAAATAATCTTATTCTCCTCCTCCCGCACAAAACAAGAAAAAATAAAGAAAAGAAGAAGGAAGAAGAAATAAAGAAAAGAAGGGGAAGATGAAGAAAATGAAGCAAAAAGAAACCCTATCTCCTACGAATAAACACACTGTAGTAATTAGCGAAAAGCGTGCAACCTGATGTGTGGTGCACACATAATAATAATGATAATAATGATGATGAAGATGATGACACTATTATATGTTATTGACCCAATTTTATAACGCAGAAACAGATTGTTTTTATTAACTGCCACCTGATATGACAAGAGTTGAACATACAATGGACAAGACTGATTATTCAAGAAGGTTTCCTAAAATTTTCCTATTTTATTCTTGCTTTTGAGCTAATAGAAACGCATGGACAAGGTCGGTACGTACTAAACCTCCCCCACGAACATCACTGTTCTGTGACTCTCGCTATCAACATTTGATTTTTTTTTTATACCTACATTTGTATACATTACAAATTAAACTAAGCACAAATGTCTATTAAAGGATAAAAAAAAAAAAATTCCTATTTAGACGTCATTCTGTTTTTTTTTTGTTTTTTTTTTCGTCCAAATCTGTGAATTTGTTTTGTTCATGCTAAGTCTCGAAAAAAACACTATATAAAATCCGCCATTTTTATACATATGGTTGAAGATGTTAAAAATTCAACTTTTTAACAAGCAAAATCTGAAGTTGCTGTTAAAAATTGCTGCAAAATTGTTTATTTATTTACTTTTTATGACATGTCTCTAATTTTTATTTATTTTTAATTTTTCTAGTTGAATTGTTCATCTATACTGCATATGACCCATTATTGTACATAATTAGGTTATAATAAAATTCTATTTTATATGAATTCTACCTTAGGAAAATTGAGATGTAGTAGAGTGTGTGGGAGGGCTGCGCATAATAGGTTCATAGATTTGGGCCCTGTGCATAGGCATATATTGAAAATAGTTTAATCTGGCAAAAGGTCACAGTGAGTACTCAGTAAATATCATAGTCTTAGTGAACTGTGAAGCTAAATAATTTCTCGTCACGAGGAACAGAGCTGACAAGGAATACAATAATTCGGGTTTCACTCTTAAAACCATGCATGAAAATTTATGAACATTTTTCTCACCGGTTAAATCTTTTTTTTTTAAATATTGTCCTCCGACATATTTTTAAATCCATCAAGTCCTTTCAGGACGTCGGCAATCATGTCTCTCCACAACTTCCTGTCTTTTGTTGCTCTAACTAATTTTTAGCCCTTTACCATTCCTCTGTGTCCCTCCTCTGCATTCCATTCACACAAACTCGTTAAGTAGGTTACTATTTCCTGTGACTGTCAAATTCTCTCGGGTCTTCTATTCTCATATGTCAGAGAAATTTTATCTGTCTCTTTCTGATTGTAAGTATACGTCTCTTTGTCATTCCTATTTTCCTAAAAACTGTATCGTTGCTCTGTCTATGGTATTCTCAGAATTCGCCGGTAGAACAACGTCTTTCGCTTGATTTTTTTTTTCGTTATCTGTGAGGAAATTGTCCAGAATTCGCTGCCATATACGAGATTATATAATACATAGCATTTCAACACTGTTCTGTTTCTAACGATAGTTTTTTTTTTTATGTCTTAATACTTCGTTTCGTTTCGTTTCGTTTGGGGAAAGTCTGTTTCGCTATTTCTTTACACCTTTCATTCTCTGTATCATATTTTTCGTCGTCTGTTACTGCACTGTTACATAAAATTCTGTACCTGCTTGATTCTGCTCTGGAATACTAATCGCTCTCCCCACCATCAATATAGCAAATTTTAAAACAATAGCTATGTGTGTATGTCTGTGTCTGTGTGTGTGTTTGAGTGAGTGAGTTAGTGTGTGTGTTTGAGTGAGTGAGTGAGTTAGTGTGTGTGTTTGAGTGAGTGAGTTAGTGTGTGTGTTTGAGTGAGTGAGTGTGTGTGCGTTTGAATGAATGAGTGAGTGAGTGTGTGTTTGAATGAGTGTGTGTGTGAGAGAGAGAGAGAGGGATATTGATCAATACATGGTCTTTTTTTCATGTACCTCCATATGAACGGAATCAGTTTACAGGAATATCACGTTGAAACCTCCGGTTCTTGTCCCATCACCAAAGTTAAGCAACGTCGAACCTGGTCAGTACCTAGATGGGTGACCGTTTGGCAATACCAGGTACTATATGCTTGGCTGTACGGGTGATGTAATAGATAAAGGTTTAGAGTTACAAAACAGAGAGTCGAGTTCTAATTCCAGTCAGGTTCATTATATTCACTTCCGCGCTAATACCACTGGGAAAGACATGAAACCACTTTCTCTCTCCAGCTATGGGTTAATTAATAGGACTTGTATCAATAAATCATTATGATCTCTACAATCTCAAATATTTTCTGGCTTTGAATAACCTGCAATGGGTTTGACAATTCCTAAATTCCAATCAATCAATGTAGACACAAATCAAAGAACATATAAACACATAGATATTCTTTTATGTGTCGTATCCCTTCAGGGGGTTGGCGATCATGGCTCTCCACAATTTCCTGTCCTTTGTAGCTCTTAATACATATTGTTTTTGCTATCTCTTCCAAAACCTATTCTCCGCAATCCAGTCACTCATGAGCCCTAGGTACATTATGCATTGTTTACCTTTGTCCCTCTTGCCTTCAATCTGTCCTGTGAGTATCAAAATTTCTAAACCCTCTTTCCTCGTTACGTACCCTAGAAATTTCAACTGTCTCTTCCTGGTGTTAATCATATATTGTTTCCATTTACTCTAAATCTTCCTTGTTGGTCCATCGTATTCTCAGTATCCTTCTGTAGAACCACATTTTTGTCGTTTCAAATCTTTTCTTCATCTGTGGGAGATTTTCCAGCATTCACGGCCATATAGGAGGACTGCTATTATATAACAGTTCAGTATTCTTTTTGTTGTTTCTAACGAAATGTTTTGGTTTCTTAATACTTTGCTTAGCTTTAGGAAGACATCTTTGGCGCTTTCGGATTTCGGTGTCGCACTTTCCGTCCTGTATTAAAACACTTCCCAGATATTTAAATTGTTGTATGGGTTTGAAATTTTTAATATTGGACTGTTCCTTTTGCTAACAACCATGCATTCTGTCTTCTTGCAGTTTATGTTGTGTCTTTTCTTCTCGCTTTCCTTCACTACCTTGGAGTTCGTATAGTTTCCTTTCTGTGTCTGTCATCATCACTGTGTTATCTGCATATCTGAAGTTGTGGCCGCCAATATCGGATAATGCTCAATTATTTTCTAGTAGAATATTGCAACAAAATCTTACTCACCCAATTCGGCAAGGCTATCTTAACGAATAAAACAGTTTTACAACTACGTAATTCATTCACTTACGCGCGCGCGCAAAAAAAAATCACTTGGGAGAGGTATGAATCCATCTCTTCTCTCAAGCTGTAGATTGGATATCAGAACAGACTGGGTCCTACAGCCTTGGTTGGCAACCAGTCTACTGCAGAAAGAAAGTGCAAACTCTGCCTATCATGAATAGAAATAGGCATGGTAACAAATGATGTAACAAAGATTCTTTTTATTCTTAACTCAATGTTTCTGCCTATATTTTTGAGATGAGGTATTATGTACACTATTTACATTATTCTGGCTACTGTCCTCACCTTTGTCGCCATGTTTATCACAACGTTTCGGCCGTTATACGCTCCTGCCTTCTTCAGGTGGTTGGAATGTCGAACTGTACCCTTTATTTTTCTTAATGGGGTAGACTGTTCTAGATCCACGTGCCATATCTAATGGATGTCAGTTATCAGTTATTTCCTGTTAATTCCCCTCTCCAAGTTCTCCACCGCCTTAACCAGGTATTGAACTCACACTCTTTTAGGTCCTGTCACTGGATCTAACTAACGCCTTTATCCATTGTGCCATGTTAAGCGTTAGTTAGATTAATTATAGGGTTCAGTTGAGTATTTCCTGTAGGTTACCTGATTCGATATTCACCTGACGAAGTCCAGAAAGCACAACGGCCGAAACGTTGTTATAACAACAACAACAAAGATGAGGATAATAGTCTGCATGCAAATAGTGTAAATAAGGTAATTTATGATTTCCATGGCATACCATTACTTAAAAACTTTTTTAAATCGATGTGGCCTTTCTGGGATGAGGAGTTATTGTCCTCATCTGAGTCGTACTAAAATAAAAACTAGACGAGATATCCTTAGACATGGGCAATGGAACGAAAACACTCTATATTAGATTAAATGACGTGTTCAATTCGAAACTCCCTTCAGGTTACCCGGATCAATATACACTTGATGAAGATGAAAGGGCACAGCGGCCGAAACGTTGTGATAGTAGTAATAAAGATAAGGACAATAGTTTATTTACATGTAAATAGTGTTAAATAGTATTTCTACTTACTTTCAGTTTCTACTACCCAACTGATGGATTGAACTCACAATTACTATACTACTATATTCACAAACCAAAAACTTTAATTATTTAGTTCAGCGTTTCTCGACCTTTTTACACTTGCGTAACCCTTAGAATAAATTACAAAGAACCCCTGCGCAAAAACAAAATTATATACCATATTTTTCTCATTTTATTTTCATTGTAGATCCCGTCGTAAATATCATAGTATATATTTTTGAATAACTGGTTTAAGGAAAAATTAATACTTTTTTGTCAAATTTTTCTGTAATGCTAAATAAAATTCATAATGTTCGTTTGTAATACTTCATAAGGGAGTTTTCATTCACACAAAAATAATTCTAAACTCAAACATAAAAAATAAACTTAAGTGACTATATACATATAATACCTATATATTATTATTATATACCTATAATATTATTATTATATACCTATATATTATATACCTATAATATAAATGTAAACAAAACGAAAACAGATAATTGCTGCATCAGTTTTTTTTTTATCCTTTACTAGCAATGTTGAAAAGACATAAGGTAAATGATGGCAAAATGTTCTGTGAACCACTAAATGAATTAAGAAAATGTTACTTTCAGAGCCATTTGATAAAGTAAAACATGTTTCTCTAATGTGAAGCTTGTACTTGTCTTTTGTTACACAATTGAAAAGTGTCATTAAAATGCATTAGCTTATCTCACCTGTTCTCACGGAACCTTGGGGACCTTTTGCGGAACCTTAGGGTTCCGGGGTACCCTGGTTGAGAAACGCTGATCTAGTCTATTGGCCGACTATAAGTAATTGATTATATTACTTTTATACACGCATGAATGTACTTACAGCTAATTTTAAATCAAGAATTTAAATACATTGGTAATTCAATTTTAAGAGACCACCTATGCATTGTCATTTGAAATCGAGGACAATAAGACGATATATAGTAAAGATGAGAAATTATTTTAAATCAGCTTCAGAGGTTAAATCAAAAAGAAAGAAAAAAAAAAACAACGCCTCGATAAAAGCAATTATAAAGTCCTTTCGTGTCAGATACGTGACCTTTGTCTAACAGCAAAAATAATCAGCTATTTGCTCCTTCCTCCGCGAATGAATGAATGAATAAATGAATGAACGAACCAAGGAAGGACGGAAAAAAAAAAGAAAAGGCAAAGTGATGGTAGTTGGGGGAGAAACTAAAAAAAAAAAAAAAAAAAAAAGATAGAGAGAAGAAAATCGTTGGCTTGAAAAGAAAGTTACATAATGAGAGAAGACAGATTTTTCCCCCTCTTATTGCTAAGTTACTCATCCATCGTACAAAAAAATCTCGGTTCTTTAACGCACTTCTGCCCAGGGGTCATTTCTTCTTTTTCTCCATATTTTTTTTTTTTTTTTTTTTTTTTTTTGACACTCTCCTCTTCCTCCTCCTCCTCCAAATTCTCACTCTTTTTGTTTGTTCATCTGAATGATTTACTAATTGCAGTGTTTCCTGCCTCCTGACGTCTGCCGCTTCCTTTATCTGTGCAAGATTTCTCCCGATCTACACATTATTTTTTTTATTTATTTTACCTTTTACTCCCCAAAGTGATAGGTTTTCCCCATTTATTGTCACTTGAAGAGTTTGTTATCAACAAAGCATCCTCCTTATCTTTCGGTCTTCCACCTTCTCAAATTATTTTTCTCGCGTTAATGTATTCCGTGACTTTGTTATTATTATTATTATTATTATTAATTCTTTTTTAATGCTTCATTTTCTATCTTTTTTTCTCATTTAATTTCTTTCTTTATTCTCTTTTGTTCTTCTCTACCCCATTCGATTTCTTTGTGCTTCTTCACGGCACACATCTTTCTTCAAGAATAACCTGTATTTTTTTATTATTATCGTCCATGTTATCGTATTTTTTTATAGTTTTCCTTTCGAATTTCATTTCGATAGGGTTTCATTCGTTTTCTTAAAAATATCAGTTGCATTTTCACCAAGTCCTTTTATATACGTTCTCTCTCTCTCTTTTTTTTTTTCAAGTCTCGCACCGAGTTCTTCTTCCCAAGGTCTGTCACCCTTTTTTTTTATAATTCCTACGTTTTTCTCTTTTCCATCCTTCTCTCTCCCGTCGTTCTTTTTTTTTCCATCTCTCTCTCTCTCTCTCTCTCTTGTGCGCGCGCGTCTTTCTCATTTCCAGTTTTCTCACTCTCTTTCGTCTTTCTCTTTTCAAGTCCTCTCTTCTGCGTCTTTCTCTTTTCTAGCTCGTTCTCGCGAGTCTTTCTCTTTTCAAGCTCTTTATCTCCCCTGCGTTTTTTTTTTCCTTTTTAGCTCTCTCTCCTACATTTTTCTTCTTTTCAGCTCTCTCTTTCTCCTGCGTCTTTCTCCATTTCAGCTTTCTCTCTCCTGCGTCTTTCTCCATTTCAGCTTTCTCTCTCCTGCGTCTTTCTCCATTTCAGCTCTCTCTCTCTCTCTTGCGTCTTTCTCCTTTTCAGCTCTCTCTCTCTTGCCTCTTTCTCCTTTTCAGCTCTCTCTCTCTCTCTGCGTCTTTCTCCATTTCAGCTCTCTCTCTCCTGCGTCTTTCTCCATTTCAGCTCTCTCTCTCCATTTCAGCTCTCTCTCTCTTCTGCGTCTTTCTCCATTTCAGCTCTCTCTCTCCTGCGTCTTTCTCCATTTCAGCTCTCTCTCTCCTGCGTCTTTCTCCATTTCAGCTCTCTCTCTCCTGCGTCTTTCTTCTTCCAGCTCTCTCTTTCTCCTGCGTCTTTTTTCTTTTCAGCTCTCTCTTTCTCCTGCGTCTTTCTCCTTTTCAGCTCTCTCTTTCTCCTGCGTCTTTCTCCTTTTCAGCTCTCTCTCTCTCCTGCGTCTTTCTCCTTTTAAGCTCTCTCTCTCCTGCGTCTTTCTCCTTTTAGCTCTCTCTCTCTCCGTCGTTTTTCTCCTTTTAAAGCTCTCTCTCTCCTACGTCTTTCTCCTTTAAGCTCTCTCTCTCTCCTGCGTCTTTCTCCTTTTAAGCCCTCTCTCCTGCGTCTTTCTCCTTTTAAGCTCTCTCTCTCTCTTGCGTCTTTCTCCTTTTAGCTCTCTCTCTCTCTCTCTTGCGTCTTTCTCCTTTTAAGCTCTCTCTCTCTCTCTCTTGCGTCTTTCTCCTTTTAAGCTCTCTCTCTCTCTTGCGTCCTTCTCCTTTTAAGCTCTCTCTCCTGCGTCTTTCTCCTTTTAAGCTCTCTCTCCTGCGTCTTTCTCCTGCGTCTTTCTCCTTTTCAGCTCTTTCTCTTTCTCTCTCTCTCTCTCTAACCTGTGTCTTTCCTTTTTTCAGTCTTTTCATATCTCTCTTCGTCTCCTGCGTCTTTCTCCCTTTCAGCTCTCTTTCTCTTCTGCGTCTCTCTTCTGCGTCTCTCTCCTGCGTCTTTCTCCTTTTCAGCTCTTTCTCTCCTGCGTCTTTCTCCTTTTCAGCTCTCTCTCTCTCTCTCCTGCGTCTTTCTCCCTTTCAGCTCTCTCTCTCTCCTGCGTCTTTCTCCCTTCAGCTCTCTCTCTCTCCTGCGTCTTTCTCCCTTTCAGTTCTCTCTCTCTCTCTCCTGCGTCTTTCTTCTTTTTCAGCTCTCTCCCCTGCGTCTTTCTCCTTTTTATCTCGCTCTCTTGCGTCTGTCTCCTTTCCGTCTCTCTCTCGTTCCCTCTATCTATTGCATATTTCTCTTTTCCATCTCTCTCTTTAGTCTTTTCCCTTCCAGCCCTCCTCTCTACTGTGTCTTCCAGTCCTCTCTCTCCTGTGTTCTCATTTCGTTCCGTCTTTCTTACAGTTTAAAAATAGCTTTTCTTTGATCTGTTTAACCCTGTTTTTCTCCTTGTCTTTTTATATTCCTGCTATTCTTTCTTTTATTTTGAACTTTTTGTCTTTAATAGTTACTCGTTTTCAAATTCCTGACATCGTCTCCATTCTCCCTTTTCTCTTTTGATCCCAGTAGCTCATCGTGTATTAATTCCCTACAGGCAACACAGGAATTACTGACGGTGTTTGTTAGAAGAAGCGGCATGAATAATTTATCCATTCAACTGATCATCTTTTACTTTTTACGTTAACATACAAGTTTTCAGATTTTTATATCTGAACCAACAATAACAAAAGAATTGTATATATAAGAACGAGGATGCAGCCTGTTTTAAAAATCGTATTATTTTCCCTTTAAGATTCAAATATATCTTATTATAATTCTGCTTATTTAGCACGACCGTTACACCCTGCCAACATCTTCATAAATAATGGACTATTCCGTTTTGATCGCGTGGAAAGACGCAAAAGAGATATCGGAGACGTTACTTGATTTCAGTGAGAAAATGAAAGCCGGAAAGAAAAGAAACCAGGAAAGAAAGAAGGAAAGAAAGAAGAAAAAAACAAGAAAAAGAAAGAAGGAAAGAAAGAAAAAAAAACAAGAAAGAAAGAAAAGAAGCCAGGAAAAAGAAAGAAGGAAAGAAAAGAAACTAAGAAAAAGAAAGAAGGAAAGAAAAGAAACCAAGAAAAGAAAGTAAAGAAAGAAAGAAAAGAAACCAGGAAAAAGAAAGAAGGAAAGAAAAGAAACAAGAAAAAGAAGGAAAGAAAGAAAGAAAGAAAGAAAAAACAGGAAAATGAAAGAAGGAAAAAAAAAGTAAACAGGAAAGAAAGAAAGAAAAGAAACTAGGAAAAAGTGAGAAAGAAATGAAAGAAGTAAAGAAGGTAAACCATGAAAGAAAGAGGGAAAGAGAGGTAACCGGAAAAGAAAGATGAAACGAAACTAGAGAAGAAAGGAAAAAAAAATGAAAACTAGGGAAGAAGGAAAGAAAGAAAGAAAGAAAACTAGGGGAGTATGGAGGAAATAATGAAAATTAGGAAGGAAGGAAAACTGGGGAAGCAAGGGAGAAAGAAAGGAAGGAAAGAAAGAAAAGGAAAGAAAGAAAGGAAACTAGGGAAGCAGGAAGGAAAGAACTGAAACTAGAAAAGAAAGAAAGAAAAAAAAATTCGAACAGGAAAAGCGAGAAATTTTCACGGTTACTACTAGTTGATAATATTACGCTAAACGACATGATTAAAATAAACATATCGTTTGAAAATGACAGAATATGAAAATTTTCTCTTAAAAAAAATCTGTGCACAGAAGCTGTCAGCCAGAGATAAAAATTAAAAGAAGGACGTGTAGAAGGAAGATTAAAAAAAAATTTATTCTGGGTCATAAAGAATCGAGAGTGCATGGAGACCTTTAAACTAGTATTACTTGTAGACTTTCATAAACATTTATATTCTTTGATGGTGACTTTTCTGGAAAAAAAGTGATTGATGTATTTGTCAATAGATATTTTATATTTTATATTTTCCTCTTTTTCGTGTTCCACCTCTTTTCCTTAGTTTATTTCACTCCATTTTCCTTTTTTTTTTTCTCCAGTTCCTCCCTTGTCCTTTTCTTTTTCTTTTAGCCATTCTCTTCTTAAACTGCCTTCTATTCTTCTGTATTCTATACGACTTATTATCTTGCGTTTTCCTTCTCTGACTTTTTTTCTCTTCTCTCTGTTTCCTTTCATTTCTTTCTCTCTGTCCTTTTTTTCTCTCCCTTTCGCTTCTTCTTTTTTTTTTTTTACTTCCGCTTCGTATTCTCTCTCCCCCCACTCTTAGACTTCTTTTCAGTCTCTCTCTTTCCTTCTGCTTTCTTATTCTCTCCCTCTCTTTCCTCCTCCTTTCTTACTCTCTTAATAAAACACCTCCGATTTTTCTGTTTTTATTCCTCTTCTGTATTCTATACGACTTATTATCTTACATTTTCCTTCTCTCTCCTTCCTTCTCATCTTTCTGTCTCTTTTCGATTCTTTTCTCTCTCTCTCTCTCTCTCTCTCTCTCTCTCTCTCTCTCTCACTCTTCTTCTTTTCTCTCCCTTCTGCTTCTTTTTTCTTCTTCCGTGTCTTTTTCTCTCTCCACTCCCAGTTCTTTTCTTTCTCCTTCGGCTTCTTTTAAGTCTCTCTCTTTCTCCTTCGCCTTTCTTATGCTCTCTCTTTCTTTCTCATTTTTTTACTCTCTCTTTTTCTTTCTCCTTTCTAACTCTCCCTATTTCCTTCTCTTTTTACACTCTCTTTCCTTCTCTTTTCTTTCACCTTTTTACTCTTTTTGCTTCGCCTTTCTTACTCTCACTCTTTCTCCTTTCTTACTCTCTCATTCTCCTCTACCTTTCTTACACTTTCTTTCTTTCTTTCTTTCTTTCTTTCTTTCTTTCTTTCTCCTCCCCCTTTCTTGCTCTCTTTCTCCTCCCTTTTTCTGATTCTCCCCCTTTCTTACTCTGTCTCACTTTCTCCTCCTCCTTTTTACCCTCTCTCTTTCTCCTTTCTTATTCTCTCTCTCTCTCTCTCCGCCTTTCTTACTCTTTCTCTTTCCTCCTCCTTTTTACTCTCCCACCTTCTCCTTTCTTACTCTGTTTCTCTTCATTCACTTTACTTAGTCTTTCTCTTTCCTTCTCCATTCTTTCTTTCTTTCTCTCATTCTCCTTTCTTACTCACTCTCCTCCCTTCTCCTTTCTTGCTCTATCTTTCCGCCTCTCTTTTATTACTGTCTCCTCGCTTCTCCTTTCTTACTCTTTCTTTCCTTCTCCTTTATTATTCTCTCTTTGTTCTTATAATTCTTATTCTATCTCCCTTTCTCTACATTCTTCCTTCTCTCTCTCTCTATCTCTCTCTCTCTTTATTCTTACTCTTTCCCTGTCCGTTTTTGTTCTGTATCTCTGCTCTTCACCCTTTTATCGCACCTCTATCCCTCCTCTCTTTTTATGTTTTACTCCTCCTCTCCATTTCACTCTCAATTTCTGTCCTTTTCTCTCTCTCTCTCTCTCTTTGTCTTCCCTTTCTTTCAACCCACGCCACTTCCATATCCTCCCCTTTTCTTTCTTGTTCTCGATCATTTCGCATGATATTTTCCTTCTTTATCTCTACATATACGTTGCCTCTCTTTGGCCCCATTTCTCAGTTTCCACCAGAGTGAAAGGGTTAAAACAATTATTCTCTCATCCTGAGGCTCTAAGGGTCATTTTCTAATTTCAGCATACATTCAAAGTAAACCTTCCCAAATATTTATCTCATATTCACCGCTCCTAAAAAAAAAAAAAAAAAAATGCTTAACCCCTTCCATTCCCTCAAGCAGTTCCCGTTATCTGTCCTCCCCCCTCCTCCTTATGCCCCTGACTTCTTTATATGCACTGATGATGTGCACTACGGTGCAATTCGTTCTCTGTGTCTTTCTCATTCAGAAATGCCTGCTTCGCTAATTGTGCCTACACCATCTTTGTCTGTTTATTTTATTTATTTTTGTGATGTTTGAGTGCATAGGTAGCCCCCCCCTCCTGCCCTTCTCCCGGTACTTTCTTTCACCGCCTCGACTTCTAACTTTGCCAGTGTTCTATAATGGTGTGACAGTGAATACCCTTAACTTGTAGTTTTTATGACCTCCGTCTTTGTTCGTGTTCGCATATCTTTTTAAATTTTTATTCTTTTGTTTTCCCCTTCTATTATTATTATTATTATTTGCATTTTCGTATTTACATTCTTTATTCTTTCTAATAGATTAAGCCTTCTCCTCTCTTCTCCTTGTCTTTCGTCTCTTTATTTTTGTTTCTTCTTTCTTAACTTAATATTTTTTTCTTTGCTCTGTCGTTTGCCTTCCCTTTCTTCTTTTTCTTTTATCTTTCCTGGTTTCACCTTTTTCATTTACTTGTCTTTCCTTCTCTTTTCTTTCCTTCTCTTTTCTTTCCTTCTCTTTTCTTTCCTTCTCTTTTCTTTCCTTCTCTTTTCCCTGTCAATGTTACTTTTGTTCTCTTTTTGTATTATGCATGTTTCCTGTTCGTTTTGCATTCACCTCTTCCCCCTTTTCTTTTCTTTCTTACTCTTTATCTCTTTTCCTAAAGGTTTCTTTCTCTCTTCTATCCCAGAAAAGGTATATCTGCATTTTTCTTCTTCTCTCTCCTTTTCTCTTTCTCCCTCCCTTTCTCTTTCTCCTTTTTTCTCTCTCTCTCCTTATTTTTCCCTTTTTCTCTCATGCTATTTCTCCTCTTTCTATCACTTTCTCTCTCACTCTTTCTCCTTTTTTTTCTCTCTCTCTCTTTCTTCCTCTTTTTCTCTCTCTTTCTCTTTTTTCTTTTTCTCTCTTTCCTCCTTTTCTCTTTCTTTCCCATTTTCTCTTTCCAGCTCTCTTCCTGTTAGCTTAATCTTACTTCCTTTTCTCTTCTATAGTTCTTTAAATTTTGTTCATCTTCTTTCTCAGTCATTTTCTTTTTTCAAATATCAGATAATCCTGGTTCCAAAAGCCAAATCATTCACTCTTCTTTGCCTTATCGCCTTAAAACTGCTATAGAAGATAAAGGATTTAAAACACCTAAGACTTCGGCTTCAACGCATTCTCTACAAAACTTAGTTTAATCTACCAAAAGTGTAAGACATCCGGTCAGGGATGAATTCACTACATCAGGAATGACTCGCAAGGTTAATTTTGACAGTCATTACATAAGGGCGAGGCACATGTTTTCTCAAATGGATCACACTGTATTAGACTTTGTACGATAAATGGCCATTTAGTCCTCATGATATCATCGCAGACTGCACAAGCAAAATAACACAAATGTGTGTATAAACCTTAATGCGAGACACAAATATAAAAAGGATTCTTAGACTCTGAAAAATTATCAGCAAGAAATTTATAAATTTATCATTATGCCAAGGCCGTTTGAATTTCCTACTCTGGACATAGGGATATAGAGCACTGACCATGACAGAAACATCAGTATAATGGTTTAACGTTTATATTCATATATCTTAGATATCTATAAGTCTACTATTTTGTCCATGCATTAGATTATTACTTCCACCTATGGTCTGGTGCCCCTGCTTTTTACCTTGAGCTCCTTGATAAAATCCAAAGAAGAAGCAGCAATATTATTGGTCCACTTTCTCTTCTCGCACTTCTCGCTTGTGGAACTCCCCTTTCAGTTCCATGCTTTCCAGCCAACTTTAATCTGCAAAAATTTAAATGCAATGTCAATCGCTATCTACTGCCCTCCCGATTACTCTTTCCTCTTCCCGCTCATTATTAATGTTTCTGTTCCTAAATCTTCCACAACCTGTGAGCTCTTGTGTCTTAGTGGCTTTCCTGTCTTGCATGGGGTGATATCGATCAAAAAATATTAGGATTAACAATTAATTTAGCAATCTTACTATATTTTCACTTGTTTGAAAAATTCCGTACAGATTACGTTTAATCTCGGCTTATGTAGATTTTGATCTTGTGAAATAATATTTTCTTTTCTGACGACACCGGTTGAACTGTGAAACATGTCAAAGTAAAAAAATTGTCATATGTTTCTTGTTTTTCTATTTTGGAATATGTAAATAATACGTAAAGATTCATGGGGTTGTGTAAAAATCTTGAAAACGGAACAATTTTCGCGCACTTTCTTTTGGAAAAAGCCTTTATTCGAATCCTCCCTTCGCAATGAGATACAGTGTAACCCGGATATAAGAGAAGCTCGGATATAAGAGAGATTTTCTCTGGTCCCAAATTAGAGCCTGTGTTAATGTATATAAAATAGACCAAACGCGTATATAAGAGAAACCCGGATATAAGAGACTTCTTCTCCGGTCCCGACAACTCTCTTATATCCGGGTTACACTGTATATCAGACATACTTTTGCCGCAATGCCAGTCGAAGATGGCAGGCTGACAAACGAGCGAATTGCATGGACAATCTACACTTTCGTAGTGAATTTTCGTTCATCGACAGCCGTTAAATCCGTTGTCAGTATTAACATAAAACCCAGTCGGCAATGTTTTCCAAATATACGCGCAAAACAACAGTATGTGAAAAGAAGGAATTATCTTTTGACACTGCTATTACTCTATACTCCCTAGGCTAACTGTTATATATATATATATATATATATATATATATATATATATATATATATATATAGGTGGACTCTCCCGTCGACTTCGACGTATGAGAGCTAAGCGCATGGAAGCGATGTCCCAGACACCAGCACATATGATTTGATTATAGTGGTTAAGGCTTTGTGCAAAACCAACCATACCTTTTGAAGAGTCGAATAGAGAGCGCTGGTGCTCTATATGCCACAATGTCCCCTAACGACCCTGCGCAGGTTCGGAATTCAGAGTTGTCCTTCTCCTAGACCAGTTTCCATCCAAGGCTATAGAACCCAGTCTGTCCTGCTATTTACCCATAGCTGGAAGGAGAAAAAAAAAGATTAATACCTTTCACAATGTTATTAGCACGTAAGTGAATGTAATGGATTCGACTGGAATTCGAACTCGGTTCTCCGGGCCGCTATCCACTACTCCACCGTGCCTCCTTATATAGTATTTATTTTAGGTTATTAAACCAAAAACATGTTAAAAATTGCTACACAATTAAAATCATGTTTCAACACCACACATTTTATTTATCAATTACAAAAGTTTATGTACGAATCTGAACAAGCATATAACTGGTTAGCATTGTGTTAAATTACCTCCCTACCCCTTTTAGCTTTTACTTATTTGGAAAGTTGAACGTCAGACTTCGATACATTTACAAAATAATGTCACAACTTGTATCTGTCCATAAGGAAATTGTTTAGGATTTATATTCGTGTCATGACCTATAATAAAAAAAAGTTGTTTTTTTTCTTTTCTTTTTTCCCCCCGGTGAGTTTCAATTTAGCGTAGGTCACATTCTATTGGTTAATCACGCAAAAAGCACCAGCCAATTTTTTAAAAAGTATTCTGCTTTTGAAATTATATTAATCTTTCGATCGCCAGTGGTTTGACATCGCCCGGGGAGACGCCTTTGTGGTGTTAAAATATGGTTGTAATTGTGTAGCGATTTTTAACATGTTTTTGTTTTAATATCCTAAAATAAATAATATTTAGCTTTACTCTGTATTGAGATCTCTTTTAAATTAAATGTTATGTATAGTGAAATTATATTCCTTTTGTTCTTATTTTACCTGGACATATATAATTTTAATGAAAGCCAAACATATGAAACTGGATTTATATATATATCTTTTTTTCTAGAGGATTGACAGTAAAACCGGTAAACATTATTTCTTTATTGGATTATATATTTTCAAGAATAATTTTTTATTTACAAGTTTATGCAAATATGTGAATTATCTACAACGCAATAAGTAATATTTACTATGAAAAAAAAAGTATTCTTAAATTTATAAAGGTGCCTGAACAAAAGGAACTAAAAAGGTGAATAAACACGTAACTAATTATAAATTAAAAAAAAAAAAAAAAGAAGCATTTTCCAGCCATTTTTTTCATCTACTTTCGCCACATAAATTCACAAAAATAGTTTGTGATCATCTCGATTGATACATTATTTTTTCTTGAGAATTGATAACAAATGTTAAATACTATTTTTTTTTTTATTAGTTTAATTACAAGAATAGCGTTTAATACGTTTGCGGGCAATTCTCAAAAATGAAAGAGAATACATCCAATATCATATTTTTGGTGGATGTGCGTCTGGTGTAATGGATAGCAGCTCCGAATGAGAAATCGGTGATTCGAGTTCGAATTCCAGTTGAATTCGCTATATTCACTTATGCACACATGATCTTGGGAAGTGTATGGACCTTAACCCTTCCCCAGGACTTGTATCTAGAAAAAAAAAAAAGATTTTTATCCCCCCCTCCCACGAAACTGTTAACTATTCACTCGCAGAAGAAAAAAATTCTTACACTTCAATATATGCTTTGGCTTTAAATAACTCACAATAGGTTGATAAGCCGTAAAAAACAAATCAATCAGCATTTGGGTTTTATTAAAATTCTAAAAATAGCTTTGTTATGAATAATCAAGAGTGGTCTCCCTTTGTTTTGTTTCTTTGGGAGAACTATTTCTGTTTACTGGGACTATAAAAGGACATTATACGCGAACCTTGTATTCTCAGTTGAATAAAGCTTTCTTAAAGCCTACACCTGCGTACTTTTTTCATTACAAGCTTATTAAAACAATAAAAATTGCCGAGTAAATATACCGTAATAGTGATGTCAAGAGAAAATAAAACTCTTATTTTCATACAGATTTAAAAAAAAAAAATCTGGTAAAATTGTTAAACTTACCGTCCAGTCAATGCGATTACATGTTTACTTGTATCTGTGTTAAGCAATATTTGTATCTTTGCATGTTTAGGCGCCATATTTTTTATGTGTAAATCTCTAGATGTTTAGCATGCAATTTGTCCATCTCTTTCTGTCAGTTTTTGATTACATCTGTTGCGTCGACTTTGTGTACGCTATAATGATTTTCTTTATACATCGCTTTTCCATAAACCATCAATGTCATTCCACTCTCCTTCGCATCATTCTCTCAGCCAAACGCCACTCATCTGGGTCGGAATTACGTGCTCTGCAAGAGAATAGACTCACAAGGCCATCCATAACAGGAGAAATACATAAACGAAAATAAGAAAATAAAGACGAAGTGTACATAACAATTAACTAGAATACATGACAGGATTTTTTTCAGGTTTAATTTCTTAATCTCTTTATCTTATGTAATGACTTTCAGTGAAAATTCTATAGTAAAATCCTTTCTATAGCAAACTATGTGTAGTATTCAGAAGTAATTGAGATCTCCCTTCCACCCCTGCTGAGAATGGAACAGTCGGCTGAAGAAGATACTAGCAGTTGATTTTTTCCATATGTATTGTTAAAGTAGAATAAAGCTAACTTTAAGTTTATTCGGGCTTTCTGTTTACACAACTTTTAGGCATTTTTACAGGGTATAAATAAAGACGACCACATTTCAAACCCAAAATAAATTAAAAGTAAAATGAGCAATGTTTTTTTTTCCTACAAATCAATCAATAACTTTTGTTGATTAATTGGTTTGTTTTACCTGCATATCAACTCTGTTATTTAATGCCACAAAGACGTTTTTATTATACGCCTTCCAAACAATCCTTTATTTTCCAGTTATGCTACTAGAACGGTAATTCAGTGGTATAACTTGTGATATAGGCCAAGCTCTTTCAAGTAGGCTAGGAGGGTCTAGTCTCTACTTTGATCTCCTTGTAGGGATCCTTTTGTTGATATATAGGGGCAAGGTCGTAATAAACGGTTAGAATATGTTTGAAAGTATAAGTTTCCTGAAATGCTGTGCATCCAGTAGGATATTCATTTTTAGGAGAAATGAGTGAGTGATAGAGGACGAAGTCTTCCTTCCAAGAAATGTCTTCAACCATGATACCATATTCCTAGAATGAATTTAATTTTGTAATGTTTCTTGTTTAGAATCAATAAGAAAAATTAACAATTAACTGTGAGTTCAATTCCTGGAAAGAGGGCGAGAAATAACTGATCTGTATATATATATATATATATCAAATATGCGGTGCAGTTCAATTTATATTACAATGAATCATTCATACAAAAAGTAGGTTAATAAAGTTAATGATATAAAATGGCGAAAACTTTTCACAAACAAAATTTTAAAGTTGCATTAACCTACGAACTACTCTATGAATGTTATGATCCTTGTTTTTAATAACTACAAGCTGTATAAGGTCTTTTTTTTAAATCTGCAAGTACTTTCAACTGTACATACAGTCATCCTCAGGCATGGAAATTATTTTGTTCTTAGTAAAACCAGGTAGCATTGGAAACGAAAGATGAAATGCGAATCGAAATCTTTTTTTTTTTAAATGTGTTATTGTTAACGGATAAAAACATTTGGAGCGTGCAGTCGCAACGCTAAGGTTGAATTTTTTGAAAATTTAAGAGAGTGCGTTTTTTGCTAATATGGTAATTTGAGAATTTTTTAGTTGTAGGAGTTTATCAGTCAATGTGGCACGAACTAAATTGTTCAATAAATAGAATAATGTCTCGGCTGAGGATGAATGTATGCATGAAGTGGTAAAAGTGTTGTTACTGTATATATTACGAGAACGTCTAAAAATAGAAGTTTATTTTTTTTGACTAAGTTCGTAGGTAAAGTTAAGGACAATTTTTTTATGCCCTTAATTTTGCCTACGAGCAACAAAAAACCCTCATATATATATATATATATATATATATATATATATATATATATATATATATATATATATGGAATATGGAATATTTATTTATATAGATAGTTGAAAATAAATAAATATACTGTTTAATAAATAAACGAGCTCCTACTCATATACGAGTATTCACTAAAATAACGTTTTTAATTTATAAAAGCTATCGAATTAATAAATAAAAATCCATATATATATATATATATATATATATATGTTTAATATTACATTAAACATAATATATATTTAATATTTACATATTGAATATTACTTGTAAGGTATGCTATATTTATAGGAGGATAGCGCTCGCTATCAACAAAAAAGCGTGTATAAATATTGTGTCACAGCTTGTGTTACTTCATGGCGACAGGCATTTTCATGCTTCAACGTAATCGTCAGGCCTGACGATTTGGTTTAAGCATGAAACGCTGTCGTCATCCATTGTTAAGACCTTTTTACACACATACACACAAACCCTCTCTCCATATACACACACACACACACACACACATATGTATAATATTAAAGTTAGTTTATTATAGTACATATCTACGTTGAGGAGACACTCCTTGAAGTTCGAACTTGGCAAAGGTCAACGAAATTAGCTTGCCTATCATCACTGAACAACAAACACTCTTGTAAGTATTGTGCTTAGCTTAGTCTGGCATAAGAACTACTTCATGGTTGCTCGACGTCCTGCGTTTATACGTGTATACAGAGTGTTTACAACATCGATTCATAGACTCGTAAGCTTGTTTATTTAAATGTAATTTCAATGTGTTAGGTGCGTTTGCATATTTGCTCCATTTACTGAATGGGTGTGTGGAGAGTTAGCGATAATTCTCTATGTGCCTGGAGAGGTCAGAGCTCATGCGCATAATGGAACTCCTACATTGGAAATTCGAACAGAATTGTTAGCCTCTTACTCACCACAGCTCTGATAGTCACGTGATAGCATTCGTGATATTTATCGATGATAAAAAAAAAATATTATATATATATATATATATATATATATATATATATATATATATATATATATATATATATATGATATAGATTAAAACTAAGCAAAATAGGCGAAGAAAAACATGTCAGCCAATAGGAAAGTTCATCTGAGTTGTCTGATTATCCAATAAAACTGCGCCAAAATAATTTTTTCTTCCTACTTTTTCAATTTTGCTCTCCTTTGATATTCTCCTTGCTCTCCTTTCTTGTCCAGTTTCTAATTTTAAACTCCTTACTCTCTCTCTTGCTATCTCTATCGAGCTAGCTCTCCCTTTTCAGACCTTGCCCTCCATTTGATCTCTGATTCTTGTCCTTCATTTCTTGCTTTTCTTGTTTTTTGTTCTTGCTCAAGATCTATCTTTTCATACATTATTCTCTCTCTTTTTACCCTTCATTCTTGCTCTCTCTTTTTCCGCCCCCTTGATCTCCATACTTACTCTCTTTTTCACTTTCTTTTAATATCTACTCTCTTTCCTTTTTATACTTTATTCTTTTACCCTATGCTGTCTCTCTTCATTTTCTTTCCCTCTTTGATCCTTACTCTCTGGTTTTACCCTCTAACAAAATCAATCCTTTTCTCTGCTTTTATTTCTATGTAATGCTTTTTTTCTTTTCCTTTCTACTTTTTCTTAACACTCCTTTTAACCTTGCCACGTCTTTCTATCTCCCTCGTCTTCTAGATTTATCTTACTCTCCACCCCTTAACTTACTGTTAAGTCCCCTGCTCTTCTTCTTTCTTCAGCTTTCTCCCCTTCCCCTTCACCTCTTCTTTTTACTTTCTCCGTTTACTAGATACTCACTCTCTCATTTCCTCGCTTTTCTCTCGGCACTTCCATTTCCCCCCGCCAGAATCATGTTACATCCTTCTCTCTTTCCCAAATCCCCCTTTCATTACCTCTTTCCAATTCTCCCCTCTCCTTTAATATAAGATCATTTCATGCCCTTTGTAAACGACCTTTCAAAAATAAGTTTCATTTTAAGAAATCAATTATTTGTGTTCTGCTCTCTTCTCGTTGCAATTCATTTATTATGGAGTTGTTTATTTATTGTCTGTTTAGATTTGTCGTATTTTCAAAGTGTTTTCGCCTCTGGCACTTGCAGTCTCTACTTAAACTCTTCACCTTGACTTTAACTCCTCACAGATAAGCCTTCTTTATACAACTCTTTGCCACATTGCAAGCCATTGAGGAACATTTTCTTCCTTTATTTCTTTCTTTTCCATTGTTTCATTAATTTATTCTTCTTTTCATATCTGGGTATTTTCATACGTTTTTTTTTTTTTTTACCTTTCATCAATCTCTGTTCCTCTCTCTGGCTTGAGTTCGTCTCTTCATTCTCTTTTTTTTTTCATCTGTTTCTTCATTTCGTTCTCCAATTTTCTTTTCTCTTATTCCTTTCTTTGTTTACTTCCCTTCTTTTTCTTTTTTTCTTTTTCATCGCCTACGTCGGCCTCCCTTTTCGCTTTTCCGATCATCTTTAGGGGTTTAACACTAAGCTGGATTTCGTGAAGGCTTCTGATGGGAAGTCAATAAATATATTGATTGTATGTTGATTAGTTTTGGGGAATATAAAGTTCGCGTTTAGTGTCCTTTTATAGTCCCAGTAAACAGAAATAGCTCTTCAAATAGGAGACTAACAAAACAAGGTGAGACCACTCTTGATTATTCATAACATTATATATATATATATATATATATATATATATATATATATATATATTGGGTTGGTGCAAAAATAATGACGTAATAATGTCGTTTTTGACATTATTACGTCAATATTTTTGCACCAACCTAATATATATATATATATATATATGTATGTATGTGTGTGTGTGTGTGTATGTGACAAAATGAAAAGGTTTTCATTGGCCTAAGTTTATTTAAACGAACAGTGTTTATTCAATAGAATAATTATAAATAATTTCTTTAATTCTTGATAATGACTGAAGCGAGTCGAAACCCCGGAACATTCACAAGGACCCAAAATATGAACCATTCCCATATTGCTTTCAATCCAAGGCAATGAATGATTAAAAATATGATAAACTTAACTTCAAGAGAATTTGTTTAATCAGAATATCTATGTACGTTTATTTTCACCTAATATGGAATTAAAATTAATATTTTTATTCATTTTTCACGGCAATATTAGTCATACAGATTTTGTATAACGCCCCAGTGTAGAATCAGAGTGTATGCATCGTATCCATTAAATTGCTCAAAATCAATTGCTTGAAAAATAATTTCTCGAACTATCAATTGCTCGAAAGGCAGTTTGCTCGAATCCTGTGGTTAAAAAAAAAATAAAACTACATTGTTTCTAATATTTACTATAAGATAAAACAATACAACTTTATTGTTGTTAAATCAACAGTTAAAATCAAAGAACGAGTATATTTATAGAGCAGGTCTTTTTTTTTTCTCGAAAGGCAGTTTGTTCGAAACCTGTGGTTAAAAAAAAAATAAAATACGTGCTAAGCATTTCCTTTTTCGCACATTTCACATTTCCAGTAAATCTTATTGTTCACTGTTTTGTCCTTTAATATATATATATATATATATATATATATATATATATATATATATATATATATATCCATCCATCCAAACACAACTTCTTTCCTTTTCGCTCTCAACAAAAGTTATGTCCATCATTAGGGTTCGAGATCTCCAAAATTACTGACATAGAAATAGAAAACAAATATAAAAAAAAAAAAAAATCAGAACTGCTAAAATTTGAGTGTTGTGGCTCCTTTTATCTCCCGCTCCGTTGACGTGTCGTGAGACGGCGCAGTTTACGTGGTGCTTCGAGCAATCTGCCTTTTGAGCAATTGGTAGTTCGAGTAATTATTTTTCGAGCAATTTACTGTCGAACAATTGATTTCGAGCAATTTACCTAGATCCGTGTATGCATATATCATAAGAAAGAAAGATTCCTCGAAATTCTTGCATCCCAATGCAAGCAAACAGATCCAGTCAAAATGTTTCCAGAGCCAGGTCGTATGCACTGCTTGGTCGGATATTTCAGATACCATATGTCACGTGTTTTCAAAACCTGGTCGCAATATCCGATATCATAGGATTCGTGGTTAGATTACACGGTAACTACTCAAGAAAATACTTCTGAACCGCTTATTTCACTCCTTTTAATTTTATATAAAACCAAAACTTAAACGTGAAAAAAAAATGTAAGATTAAAATAGAAATGATAAAATTGTGCTTCACTTAAAAGAAGGTTTGTCTTCAAAACTGCGATATAAATTAATTTTTAAACTATATTCTATTTTTGATAATATAAATTTTTAACCTAGGGCACCTCGACGTGGTGTAATGGTTAGAAAGTTTGTCTTGCTAGATCAATTACGACTGAGTACTGAGATCGATGCTCACTGGGTGCCCCCTAATTTCAGCCTTGTGCCACATCAAAGCCGGGCTTAGAAAATCACTATCAGAAAGGTAGGTCTAGGGCACCTTGACGTGGTGTAATGGTTAGAAAGTTTGTCTTGCTAGATCAATTACGACTGAGTAGTGAGTTCGATCCTCACTGGGTGCCCCATACTTACGGCCTTGTGCCACATCTAAGCCGGGCTTAGAAAATCACTATAAATTTTTTAACCTGAGCTATGAGTTAAATAGTAGAGTTTACTAGGCATTCCAGTATAGTGTGGCAATCTGCCTGTTTTGTTTTGTTTTTTACTAAAGTTCAACCAGTACAAAACTCAAGAGCCACTCATGGTAGTTGGTTACTGAATGGAATGTGTAACATAAATGAGGTAGAAGGAAGTGAAGATTATAAGGATAGGTATCGATTGACCATCGATTTGAAGAGGTTAAGATTGTAGTGTTCCGGGAAGCAGCCACGTAGCAGTTCTTGGGAGAAAGCTGTTTGAAAGGAACTTATACTTCACAAATGGAACAAGGGAGAAATGTGGGTGATTCGACTCGGTGGCCGTAGCGTGATGCGTCCTAGCTATAAATGTTTGAACTAGTTGAGCAAAAGACTGGAGTTCATCTAAATATTAGCTAAAGCAATTGCGTTACGGTCTAAGAGAAAGAAAACTCTACATTCCAAACCGTGTAAAATGCGATGGGAAACCACTCTAATATATTTCCAAATAATTCATGGCAATTCACCCTTAAAAAGGGGAGAGAACAATATGGTAAGCCATAATCATCTACATCCTGAAGGTACAGAGCATTAAAAGAAAACTTTTAATACTTTTATGTTTGTGTGTATTGTATAGCTTCAGTTAGGTTTCAAAATTCATATTGACCGTTTCTTATTATCAAACTACCTTTTTGACCATAGAACAATTACTCGGATCGAAAAACACCTGATGAAGGTCGAAGGGTATAATAACAGAAAAGTTGTGATAATAAAAACAAAGATGAGGACAATAGTCTGCGTTGTAAATAATGTGAATAAAAAGTAAAGAGGAAGGACTACATAATTGCAAAAAAACAAATTTCTGACAGTTTCATGAAGATCCTAAGGTTTGTTCAGACCACTGAATATGGCTTACCACAGCGTTTCGACCATACCATTTCTTCACGTATCGACACCACAAGGAAAGAGAAATATCTCTTTCTCTATCACCGACAATATGGCGACAGAAAGTGGTTTCGTACATACTGTATCAGTTGATTACTGCCAGGTGAGACGCACAGACGATTCCATTTACTGCCACCCAGGTAACTCAGGTGATTCTAATTTACACACGGCGCTGTTCCCCGACGCCTTCCCGGCTCTGTAAAGAAAAACCACACCACACTGAAATCAATACTGATCTGACTTACGCAACTTATCAAAAAGCCTCCTCCTCTTTTCAATTCTCTTGCTCTCGAGCAGTGAGGATAACGTGGGTGCGTTTTCATACTCCAGATATGGTTCGCCATATCAAATTTTACTAACTCTTTTTTCCTTTGGAAAGCGGTTTTTTGTGAGTGTGGCTTTTAAAGGATATTTTTCCACATTTGCATGGTATCTCATAAACGCTATCTTTTCTTTTCCCGCCAACTTAACAATCAACGCTCGTTTTCCAGACCTTCGAATTGGGATCAAAGTGTAGTATCTGCCTTCGAGCGCACAAACTACATTTTATCTCTTATTTATGTTTCTGTCTTTGGAAAGAGCGCAACTGAAATCATTATTGAAAGACCCCCTGTTCCGGGAAACAGCTACCCGCAACAAAATCTCCCTCATTGCACTAAAGGGTGAGATTGGTAGTCATACCGATGCCAGCGTAACCGACGGTTGTGCGGGCAGAGATATGTTTGGACCTGTCTTGGGCTCACGCGCCCGGGCTTCCTACATTAGACTGACATTGTGTCACATGCTGCCAGCGTGGGGCCTGCAAGTAAATACTAAGTGTAGTATCTGCATTATATGGCTCAATTATGTTTTTCTTCGGACAGACCACAACAAATAAATGAAGTATGCCTGGTCTGGTCCTGGGGATTCTAAACCTTCCGCAGTATCTCCCTCATTGCACCAAAGAAGGAGGATCGGTAGAATATCGTCGGCAGCACGACGTTGATTGCGGGGACCGGGCAATTTTTGGACTGGGCCTATATGAACACACTTTACCACTTCACTTTAAATCGGCCTTGTGCCATATCCTGTCATCGTGGCGGGGACGATAACTGTATTATCTGTTCTTCACTTCTCTGTTGTGTTTCTACCTTTGGACAGTTCACGATAAAAAAAGTTAAGGGATGTCTGGTACAGGGAATTCTAACCCTGCGTTAGTACCTTCGTCATTGCATGAAAGAGTGTAGGGGTGATGGATACCAACATCGCTATGACAATGGTCGCAGGGACTGGGTATTGTTTTCATTGGCTCATTTGTATGCGTATGTGCCAATGGTACTTTGATCTTCCGGCGGAGATCAAAGTGTAGAATCTGTTCTTTCCTCATTTGAGATAGGTGAAGACACTCGGTCTCGGGGATTTTAACTGCGCAGCAGGACCTTCCTCAATGAACTAAGAGAAGTGGGGTCGGTCGCTGTAATATTGACGCCAGCGTAACAGGGGAGTGGGAAATTTTTGTCAATGGTCCATATGCACGCGAATGGGCATTCCAAATAAAAAAAAAATGTGTTACATCGTTAGAAAGGAGGTCATGTAAATATCGAGATAAAATTGTAGCATATGTTCTTTTGACCACTCGACTACGAAGAAGTTCATAGTCAAGCAAGGTTCTATTTGCATTTAATGCACACGTTACGCGTTCAGTTTTCGTTGAAAGTCATAACTGCTCAGTTTCGTATTCGGAACGTAAACAAAGCAATTTGTTAAGAAGACGCTCCTTTTCAGGCCGGTAGATGAAATAAAAATATCGTTTATTTTTAAAAAATAAATAAAGCATCTACTCAGCTATGGATATCTATGAAAAAAAAGTTTAAAGTAATAAAAATAATGTATGTATTACAAATTATATGCAGTGTCACTAAAGTTGACTAAAATTCTCGACCATTCTTGTAATATAAAAAGTAGCAATTTTTTTTTATAGAGTGGCAACATGGCAACTATGAATCGTATTATTATACACTTAGTGAGGATCGAACGTCCTAATAATGGTGAGCCAGATAATATTGTTAACCATTACCCAAAACGCCGAGGTACCCTTGATAAGTAGGTACTTACTTACGTCTGTAAAGTGCAGAAATGTACTACTTATAGCATTGCCTCCCTTAACCTCTATGTTGCAATAATTTAGTACCGATAATTTTTAGACAACCTGTTATCGCGAACGACTTGTTTTAGTGTTGCATCTTTTATTTGTATATAGTATTTTCTTCTCTTCCTTCCTTTTGGAAGTAGAAATTAGGCTACTAGCTTCAACCACAAACTAACCTTAGAAATAAACAACAACAAAAAAGTACAACTAACACAAAAATAACTCAATAACAAAAACAGCATGCCTATATATGGTGATATATAAGTTGTCCACTTGTACTATGAAAAAAGCCTGTATGTCCCTCGATGTTGACCTAGATATTCTTGCGAAAAAAAAACTTTTTTTCTAGACCTAACCCTCACCCATTTGAACAAATTCTCCCTTCCTTTCTCCTTACTCTCCCTCTCACTCATTTTTTTCTTTCCTCTTTCTCTTTCTGTGTCTTTCTCCCTCTACCACGTCCGTCTCACATACTGAGGGGTAGGTTGTCGTTGTAAGTCTCGAGCGAGCGCGTTATTGAAATTCTTGTGGCCTGCGCACGCACATACAATAAGTATGTCTTTCTCAAATCGTTTTTCCATTTAATGCATCCTCTCTTTTTATCTAATACATTTGTGCTTTTGTCCCAAACTAAACTATGCCCGGCGCATATATATATATATATATATATATATGTGTGTGTGTGTGTGTGTGTGTGTGTGTGCAGATATGTAGAAAAATAGGAAAGAACACGGTAAATAAATTCCTAAATTTTCGCTTGAGGATGAAACATGGCTTCATACTTTAACTCAATTTAATTTTAATAATTATATTGAGGTTTCGGCTCACGTATTTGAAACATGAGAACTCTTATGTAGCGAAGGAATCATATTTTAAAAAAAATAATTATATATTCATTTGTTTTTGTATAGATATGTGTACATAGATATATATATATATATATATATATATATATATATGTATATATATATATATATATATAAAGACTAATAAGGAATGACAAGATGCAAAATATAGTTTGCAACGAGTTCCGTTTCGAGAAGGAACAACTTATTATTGTAATATATGTGTGTGTGTGTCTGCGCCCGTGTAATGATGGAATACACACACACACACACACACACACACACACACACATATATATATATGTATATATGTGTGTATATATCTGTGTGTGTGTCTGCGAGCGTGTATTGATGGAATATATATATGTATAGATAGATAGATATATGTGTGTGTGTGTGTGTGTGTTTCATTAAAGACTATTGACAAGGTACTGCGATTAAGCTTTTATTTTATTCAATTTCAAGTGTTTTCTTTTCTCGACATGAAGTGTGTAAATACTATTCGTATTTTCTATATATCCGAGCCTTGATTATTATTTTTTTTTTTTTTACTGAATATGTACATATTTACATTTGTGTACCTACAATGATGAGGATTTTAATTTTATTTTACAAACACAATCAGCACAGTGTGCACGTGTTCATAGGGGGAGTGTTACTATGTGTTGCTTTATTAATACTTCCATTTCCTACGAGTATGTTGTGGACGGAGTTTGCTAGTTTACCGTACGTGTTTAAATGGTACCTAATTGAGCTATGGTCAGAGATGTAACGTGCGACCTCTTGATAGGCATGTGGTGGTATAGCCAATATAATTATTCATTAATTTGGTTTGAGGAGTAACGTAGTTCCTTAACATTCATAAATAATAATTTTGCAGGTGACTTGTTGACGATATATAAATATATATGTATATATATGGAGTCAACTGAATATATATATATATATATATATATATATATATATATATATAATATGGAATCAACTGAACATATATATATATATATATATATATATATATATATATATATATTCCAATATAAATGTGTCGTCATAAAATGTTCTTTCCAGAAACGAAATGTATCGCAAATCAATTTTCCATCTTGTCATTCATTATTATTTTTTATATAAGTAACCTACACACAAGCCACCAATCTGCCACTGGGTGGCATGCGGCTAGCTTTTATTGCTGGTTTCCCGCTGTAGGTCCGCTGGCGTATTCGAATCGGCAATGCTACCACTTGGCCCGTAAGTAGCTGCCACCAGAGGACCACTGGCCTTGCCATCGGCGGCCCTCCAGCGTCTTGTATGTAGAGTGTATGCATGTATATATATAAATATATATATATAGGACGAAACTCGTTTGCAGATCCACACGGCAAATACTAGTAACGATTTATATCCATCTAGATTTAAATTTATGTTTATACTATTATTATTATTATTATTATTATTCCACGTTGTGATACCAGTAGTTTTGTGAGGAAAGGGATTAAATCCAGCAAACAAATTTACTGTAAATTAACGGATCTATGCACTTTCAATACGTTTTCGTCTTTATATCATAATGTGGATTATTTAACTCTAAATGATGTTAGGAGCTATGACGACGAACTGTTAATCCACTGAGAAATGAAACTTATAGAAATTACGGCTACATCTAGCCAGCTGAATTGTGGATTTTCTACAAGACCCCCACCTATGTTCATATAATCTTTTTTTATTTGTATTCACTGCTGTCTCACCTTTGTATTTAATCTATTTTGTAAATTCATATTTCCGGTTCAATTTTACTATTATTTTGTATTTATTAAACCTCATTGTTTTGGAAGTAGTTATAACCAATTCTATATTAATGTTGTAGAAATTATTTTAATTTGTAGACGTTATGGACTTATAGTACTATTCTGTATCGAGTTTTATGATCAGTTATATTGTTTTTATGGATTTTGCAAGCTTTCCTCTTCGCGTTATATAAGGAAATAATTGGAGAGCTTCGGGTAAATATTGAGGGTTACAAATTGTAAGCAAGAATCCTGGAATAATTTCAGCTTCATTTAAAATAATCATCAGTGCGTTACGGCCGTATCATGTTGAAACTCCGGTTCTCGTCCGATCAGCAAATATAAACAAGTTTGAGCCTTGGGAATACCGGATACTGCAAGCTACGCAACAGGCATAGCAAGCCGGCGATAGATGCAATTTAGCTACTTATATTAAAAGAAAACCTCGATGTGAGCAGGTGCTTCTGGACGGACAGGTCGTGAGAATAACCTGGAGCTGAGAGAGTAGTACGGCGAACGTGTCACTGTGATTTAACATATGTTGTTTGTTTCCATTTCAAAGATTGTATTTTCAACATTATTATTTTTATATTGGTTTGTGTTTATAAGATTATTTATATGAAGAAAGCATATAAGTAAATCAGATAATATCTTCAATATTTATATAATATCTATATAATATTTATATAATATATACCGCGTACTCAATTAGATTGAACATTAGGCATCTACATTTATCTATATTTCTGAGATAAGGTATTGTAACTATTTACACTGTTCCAAATGTTGTCCTCATCTTTATTGTCATCTTCACGACATTTCGACCGTTGTACGCTCCGGCCTTTTTTCCCAATGATACATGGCCCAGTGAATAAAAGCGTTGGTTGAAGTAATCCAAAAGTGACTTGAACTAAAGATTTGTGAGTTCAATATTTGGCCACAACAAAGGTGAACAAAAACTGGGAGAATTGAGTTGCTAAAGGGAATTAACTAAACAACTGAGAATAGGCATGGCACGTCGAACTTGTTTAGACTACCCCGTTTAGTCTAAATAAAGGGTTCAGTTCGAAATTCTAACGTATATCTTCTGAAGAAGGCTGGAGCGTACAACGGCCGAAACGTCGTTAATATGACAATGAATATAAGGACAGCAGCCCGAATATATGTAAATAGTGTTAATGCATCTATATTATAAAAGAGGTCTTACTGACATAGCACGTTGAAATACCGGTTCCAGTACGATTACCGAAGTTAAGCAAGGTCGAGCCTGTTCAGTACTTAGATGAGTGACCGATCGGGAATATCAGATCCTATAAGCTTGAATGTCTGGTTGGTATGGCTTTCAGCTAATTAAATAAAAGAAGTCAAAGGTCACCTTGTACATCACTGGCTTGCAACATTGTCGAACAGGAACAGGAGCTATTGTGTTGAGTTCAGGCTTCATTGGATTTATGCTCATCACATACAAGGCCGAAGAGTCGCTCAAGGCAGAGGGTTACTGAATGAGGTAGTTTTAATAGGAAAAAGTATATGTAGATTATGAGTACATCTAGTAATATATGACAGCTGGCTCACGACTTGAAGAGGTTAAGATAGGGGAAGCATCCTCCCAGGAATAAATCCCGTATTCTAGAGACATACCGGGTGCGATTGGTAAATTATCGCCATTTTATATTTTTTTTAATTTCACGCATGCGCGTTGTGTGTTTTTGATTTTGTCGACTGCACAGTATAGTCGGGTCAGTTGGGCACCGTCGGTGAGAAAAAGAGCACCATAACGTAATTCACGCCACCAGAATTTTGGAAACGGTATACTGTACTAGCGATGGTCTATATTGCTAACTATTTCTGTGTGGCGGATGTAATTTCGGCCGATATGCTCTTCGGTCTTTTCAGCTATTTCTTTTCATTCATTTTCATGTGATCCCTGCCTGAGGAAAGGTCGAAGATGTTGAAAACAATGAAAATATTTCGTTTCAGATCTTTAGCATCATGCGCCTTTGTTCAGTTTTTTATTTATTTTATTCTTATTTAATCATTTCATCCCCAAGCAAAGCGAAAATGCCATTAAGACACAAGGGTTTACTGGGAGTGAAAGATAATGAAAAAAACTTTAGGAGAAAGAACCGGAAACTCAAACACTAAACAGGAAGCAAGGAATAAACTTTTACTCCTGTTCAAAAAACTAGGACGGAGTATGAACCGGGCGAGAGATGAATCTGTTTAGCCTCTGAAATACCGATTGTCGAATAAGTCTATTTATGGCAGCATTTTTTTTTTTTTTTAAATAAGGGAATATGTAAAATTCCACGTAAAATAATCCTGAAATATTTATTCCATATTTCTCCTGGATTTTTTTTTCTTTTATTGAATTGAATTTTTTTATTTATTTATTTTGGATTGGATTCAAAACTGTTTCAGATAAAATAGAATGTGGGAAAATGTAAATAAAAAAAAAATTAAATTACAAAAAAAAAAAAAATAGTAAAAAAAAAGTGTTTAAATCTTTTTTCAATCTATGGCAATAGAGCGAAAGTTAAGTTCCCACGCAATATAAGTATTTTTTTTTCTTTTTTTGGCCTGAAATATTACCTCCTGACGGCCTGACGACTGTTAGTACCAAACGCCTTTCTTTAAATCGCTCAAAGCTCTAATATTCCTATTAATAGTAGATATTTATATCTCAAGGGTACAACGAATTTTATATGTTCTTAACTGGTTAAAATAATCATAGAGCAAGAAATACTTGCCCGAGGCTTTTATATACTTATTACTTCAAAGTTGGTTTAATCTTTATTCCTTTATTGGATAACGATGTTGGCTAACCATGAGATATATTTCCCACTCGTATAGTTTACAGTTTTCTTTTTCTTGTTTATAGACTGAGAGACAAAAATCATCTGACTGTAAATAAGATCGTAATGTTATCAATTAAAACTCTGTAGACTGTTTCTCTTAACGTGTAAGTTACATTCCATCAGCATGGCTGATGCTAACCTTCAGCAGTGTGACTTCTCGGGCTAACATTTTTTGGTGACATATAGTGAAAAGATTATATTGAAACAATTGCTAAGTCTACTGTTAGAAAAGAGAGTTCACTTTGTCTGTGCTAGAAAATTTCTCTCAATAATCTTATACATTTATAAGTCTACTATTCATCCATGCATTGAATATAGCTGTCATTTCTGGCTTGGTGCTTCTTCATATAGTAAAAGGATTATACACTATTTACATTATTCGGACTATCGTCCCCATCTTTGTTGCTATATTTATCAGAACGTTTCAGTCGTTGTACGCTCCGGCTTTCTTCAGGTGGTTGGAATATCCCTTTATTTCGCTCGCTGGGGTAGACTGTTCTATTTCCACGTGCATGCCTAATGTATGTCAGTTATCAGTTATCTCCTGTTAATTCACCTCTCCAAGTTCTCCGCTGCTTTAACCAGGTATTGAACTCACACTGTTTGGGTCCTGTCACTGGATCTAACTAACGCCATGTGACCTTGAAGACATCTGTGTGTGAATTTCTGGGTATTATCAACCTAATATATTCAGCAATCATTTTTTACAAGTGCTCATATTGCAATTTTTGCTGTTAGCATTGCATTTTTTTTTTACCAGAGCTCATATTGCAATTTTCGTTGTTATTAAAAGATTATGAAAAAAGATTATATTGAAACAGTTACTAGGTCTACTGTTACAAAAGAGAGTTCACTTTGACCGTGCTAGAAAATTTCTCTCAAGAATCTATCGTACTCATTTATAAGTCTACCATTCGCCCATACATTGAATATGGCTGTCACATCTGGCTTGGTGATTCTGCTATGTATTTAGAGATTCTTGATGACATAAAATGAGAAACCTGCAATGCTATTTCTTCTGACCTAGCATCTTAATTTCAGTCACTTTCCCATTGCCATAACGTAGTTTGCTTGTACCTCTTCCAAAAATATTTTCATGGTAATTGTTCTCATAAGCTTTTCTTTTCGATAGCTAGATTTTAAGTATTTAAGCGCAGTACTAGATTGGCAGCTAGGTCTCATCATTTTACAGTTAAATTATCTAGATGTAAGTGTAAGTTCTAACAGTTACCCCTCTCTCACTTCTCGCTTGTTGGACTCTCTTCCGGCTTCTTGCTTCATCGCCAGCTTTGATCTTCAAAACTGTAAAGGCAATGTTAATCGTTATCTTCTGTCTTCTTAAATCTTGTTCTTTTATTGTTCTGCCTCCTTAATAATGTTTTCTTTTTCTCATATTCTTTCGCATAAAGTATCCTCCTATTGCGACTTAGGGGCTTTATTGCCTTGATTAAAATGGTTTTAAAAGAAATGAAAAAAAATCCTCGTCTATTCTGTAGCTGAGTAATCGACATGTTTACCAAATAAGTTTTGACCGTCTTCCTACTTCTAGTGGGCACTTAAATCTCTTGATTTAATTGGGATTTTAACAATTATAATAGCCTTTCTGAATTCACGATATTTCTAAGCTTTTTTTCAATTGTTTTCCGTCGTTTATATTTAAGCACAGCCAAGGAAAGGACCAATTTTTCTATCTTACGTATATGGGACACAGTAGGAACAAATCGTAGACCATGAAGATATTCTTGATTGAAATGTATGATGTGTCATTGATTATGATAAGTAAGATAAAAAGAAACGCACACACACATCGAAACAAAGTTATATCTTTGTAGTGAGTAAACTGTTTTTGTCTATATCAAAAAATTATAATAAATAATTATTGCTCTACTACGGTATCGAGCCCTCTTTTCAATTAATATTGTGAACGTTAGAATTTATATATTATTTTCGTTCTCATTGCATCGGATATATATATATATATATATATATATATATATATATATATATATATATATATATATATATATATATATATATAATCAGTTTGTTTGACAGGAAGGTGAATTCTTGATGTTTTTGATGCGATTCCAGCGTGTGGCATCTTTGGAAAGGGACTGCATCTCACACCTTGGGCATTTGTGATTTAAATTGGGTCGAAATGAGACGGTGGAAAGTTCTTGAACAAAAAAAAAAGAAAATACAATCGTGAACTTCGGAGATCTTATCCACAATTTCGATCCTAAAAAAAACGTTCTATTCGAAAACTGGAAAAATACAATAAAAAATTAAGTACACCATTTTTCGATTGAATTAAATCCTACTTATTTTTGTAAATACTTACTGCATAAATATAATGTATCTCTGCTTGTTCATATCTATCTATCTATCGTAAAGTGAAAAAATCACTGACATCATTTGAAACCATTTTGAGTTTTTATTAGAAATAAAATAAATTACGAACTTTGAATAATTTCTTTTATTTTCCGCTCGAACGTGTAGGAAAAGTAGTCAGTTTAAAACAAATTACAAATTAATGAATAAGTGAAACAATCAATGAATAAATACACATCGTAATAAAAAATACAAATTATTTACGGCCTAATCTCACCTATTTACCATTGGTATCTTGTAATACCTTCTGTTATCATAACATCAGAATATTCCAATGTTAAAATGAGGAGATGAGGTTGTGTAACCGATAAATATATCCATACGTTCTGTCTGTGTTCGTGTGTGTTTTATATTATAAAATACAAGGTTTATTGAAACTTTTTGCAGAGCCTCGGAAATGAGACAATGCTCTCTTTGACGAAAATAAACCATCGAGTCCATTTATAAAATTTCAAAATTCCTGGACTGTAGGAAGATGGCAGGAATAAATTATTCTAGAAACAAGCTTAGATTAAGAATCAACACGAAAAGCATTTATTTCAGCATAAATTATAAACGTTCTTTTGGCCTTAAATGAGAATAATTTAATCCAACACACACAAACATATGCATATATATATTTTTACACACACACATATATATATATATATATGTATGCACATATGTATTCACACATGTATATACACACACATACAGAGATATATATATGTATATATACAAATACACACACACACACACATATATATATATATATATATATATATATATATATATGAATATTTATACAGACACACACATATAAATATACACCCAGACACTCTTATGTATATATATAAATACACACACACACACACACACACACACACACACACATATATATATATATATATATATATATATATATATATATATATATATATACACATACACATATATCTAAACACAGACATATATATATATATATATATATATATATATATATATATACACACACACACACACATATATATATACATACACAAAGGAAAAATACAATCGGAAAATTGTATGTAGTTTT